GCTAGAATAGGAGGAATAAGTCGGTGAAGACACGGGATTGATCAGATTTTTTAACCTTTCCCGCACAGTGCTTGGTCGGGTGAAGGGGATAACCGACCCGGCAAACTCGGGTTGATCCAAATTTGCAAATTCGACTCGATTTTGACCCTATTTCTCAATTATAACCCCAAATTTCAAATCCTTGACACATTTTACTCTAGAATATGGGTTCAATTTGAATTTTCACTTTAATTAGGTAAAGAATCCCCAAATCAAAATTCGGTTTACTTGGCTTTTTGTTCAATTAAGTATCTAAATGACCTAATTAGGAAAAATTGGGGCCAAAATTGAATTACCCATGACTAATTAATCCTAGGGAATGTATGGGTCTTGATTGATAATTTCGGATTGAATGCAATCCCCAATATGGGTCTTAAAATTCCTAATTTTCAATTAATTTTGGGGTTTTTCAATTCCTTTGTCAAATCGTGAAATTAGACAGACCAATATGAAATTCAAGGACCCAAAATCAATTGTTGTGAAGACACTAGAACCTAAAAAAGACTAAAAATGGTTTAATTGGGTTTTTGGCTCAACCGAAGTGTGAAATTTCCTAATTTTGGGAAAAACATATCCCCAACAGAAATTTTCTAAAATTGAGACTGCAATGCTGAAATTGGAATTAAAAGAAGACTAATGGATATTTTTGTGGAATTTTTTAATTCCATTTGGCATTTTTCTTGATTTTTTTCTCTCATTTTGGCCAAAAAAAATTAAGGAAAAATTCACAAAAATTCCAAAAAAATTATTTTTTGTTTAGAAATAGGTTCCTAAGCATGACCAAAGTTCCTAATCCTAATTTTGTGATTTTTAGGTAAATTTAAAAAATAAGTCAAAAATCAAGTGCCAACAGAAGCCTATCATAAAAATGTAAGATTTGCTATAAAAAGAACAATGTAGAATCTGACCCCTTGTCTAATCATAGGAATCAAATAATTAATGAACCTAGACAACGTTACCATGGGTTCCTCATTAAGACCACACCTCAACACCAACTCTTTGAACTTGTTCATGCTATCACAAACACCTGGGGACAAGTGCTGAATATTCCAAGTCTGAACTAACTACTTCCTCCTACAATACGAACATATTTCTTTTCTAACTCCTGCTTCATTTCTGGCAAAGTTGTCATTCGATCTTTGCTTAAACCCTGTAAGTTCATCTCCGCATGTTGTCATTGCTTTTTAACAGATCCAACAAGTTCCAATTTGGCACGACGAACTTGTCTATGCCCAGACATGTCATACCACTCACGAAAATCCTCAATATCAACGGTCTAAGCTAAAAAGAAACGATAATTAGGATTGACCGCGACTGTCAAATTAAACACATCAATTTTAACCTTCTAATAGACATGATGATCATTATCTTGAAGATACGGAGGATGCTCATAGCAATTGACTCCCAGAGGTTGTGTAACGATCCTACCGTGGACTACTCCTACGAATATGTTCCTTTTACCTCCAACCTGTAGATGTTGTCGCCTATACTACTCACCTGGCTCATCCCCTTCCCACAGTATCCTCTTCCAAGAATTCACCTAAAGATTGGATTTTAGCACGAACTTCTCACGATAGAATAATTCCTATGCGTCTCCCTAGGATTATGATTAGTATTATCCCCAACATGGATCAGCCTAGGAGGGTGTCCTGGAATCCCCGAATGCTTACGAGGTGAGTGTGCAACTTCAGATGAATGACTACGACCTGCAACATGTCTAGACTGGGGCTCACATCTGTCTCTATAGGACGTGTGCCACTACTTGTAGTCCTCAAACCTAGGTTGAGACGAGCTTTCTAACTCAATAATCCTACCGTATATTGAAAAACATATCATGCTTTAACGCACTAACACTTTCCATAAGAACAATTTGTTCTTCTTGAATGTCGCGGACTGCCGCATTATGCAAAACTAAATAAATAATGCCAAGATAAGGGAAATATGCAGATAGATCATGGAATAACTAAAATCTTCTGTGCTCAACAAATCAAAATTTAATGTCAATAATGATGCAAACAAAATGCTAGTTAACGTTCTTTGGGTCCCTTTTTAACCTAACTAATATAAAGACGAAGCTTGGACCTGAGCAGGTCCTTAAAAGGCTTAAGGGGAGACAGGAGAAGGAATTTTTTGGTACGGTGGAAGGATCTCCCTGTAAGTTTTCTCCATATTCTCTCTCTCCCATAAGAGAACTTAAGAGTCTATGGGTGGAGAAGGTAGACTCCATGTCAGCTTCGATTGGCTACCGTCGGATAGGTAGATATAATAGCTTCCTGCGCCTAAAGTGACACAGGGAGCTTTAGCTCTGCTTGGTTGGCCTGTGCTCTGCACAATGACTACATAACCGTCTTGCTGACCAAGTACCCCTAGTTACGTTACATAGTCATTGTGCAGAGTAGCCCGACAACAGAAAATCTATTTTCCCACTAAATTTGAAGCAAGAAATTATACCTTTCTAAAATTGTTCTCACAATACACACTTAATCACTCTAATATTTGGTGAGCAATTGGAGTTTATGAGAGATTGATCGTAGTTTAAGGTTGCACTTTGACCAATCCAGACCCCAAGTGGTCATATTCAACCTTAAATGAGTTCTTGTTATTCCTCAAAATAAGTCAGGGCCACCAAGTTATATATTCTTGTTAGGGGTGAGCAATTTCAAGTTCTTTACAGGTTCCATCTGTAACCAGTAACTTACCCATCGAAACGTGAAACTTGGAACCTACCCTGTCACAGATTCCAGGATCGATTCCAAGGTCGGTTCCAAGGTCTTCCTAGGTTTCACCTGTATTATTAATTGAAAAATTGTAGTGAATCATCACTTTTAATGACCACCACTTGTTACTATGATCCACTGACCACAACTCATATTTAGGCATACAAAAAATATGAAATATTAACAAGTTATAAAATAAAAGCTCAAACTAGAGATTTCAGATTGTACACTCATCATCTAACGCCATAGGATATTGCAGGATTACGTAAAGCTATAGACTAAGAGAAAATACAAAAGACTTGTTTAAGGTTTCAGGTTCCAAGTTTCACCTACCTAAAACCTCGAACCTACCTGTCGAAATGAATTCCCCAATTTTTTGAACCTGAATCCTATCCTACATACCTTGGAACCTGAAACCTACAGGTTCCATCGGTCAGTTTCTTAGGGTGCGCATGGAATGCATTCCGGAATAAAAATTCTGTTCCGGAATGCACTCCGGAACAGAATGGCGTTTGTTAAAAAATTTCTGGAATGCATTCTGGAGCGATTTTTACATTCTGAAATAAAAATGCGTTTGTTAAAAATACTTGATTCCAGAATGCATTCTTGATTCCAGAATAAATTTTTGATTCCGGAATGAGTTTTTGGCAAGAAAAAGAGAAGCTACTTTTTGTAGCTTCTTGATTCCGGAATGCATTCTCCATATTTTCTCACAATTTTTTTTTTCAGAAAATGCATAAAAATTGAAAAATTCTAGAAAAATTCATAAAATTTTCCAGAAAATAAAAAAAAAGTCAGATTTCGGGAAAATATGAAATTTGGTGAATTTTTTTTAAAAAATAAAAAAAATCAAAAATTTCAAAACTTCACAGAATAGCTTAAAACACATGTGGCCACCCACTTTGAGTGAAATTTAAATTTTTTGAGGTGCCCAAAAAAAATCAAAAATTTTCAAAACTTCACAAAATGGCTTAAAATACCTATGGCCACCTACTTTGAGTGAAATTTAAATTTTTTTAGCTACCCAAAAAAAATAAAAATAATAAAATAATAAAAATTTTCAAAACTTCACAAAATGGCTTAAAATACCTGTGGCCACCCACTTTGAGTGAAATTTAAATTTTTTGAGATGCTCAAAAAAATAAAAAAAAACAAAAAATTTCAAAACTTCATAAAATGGCTTAGAATATCTGTAGCCACCCACTTTGAGTAAAATTTAAATTTTTTTAGGTGCCCAAAAAAATAAAAAAATAAAAAAATAAAAAAAATTCAAAACATCACAAAATGGCTTAGAATACCTGTGGCCACCCACTTTGAGTGAAATTTAAATTTTTTTAGGTGCCCAAAAAAAATTTAAAAAAATCAAAAATTTCAAAACTTTACAGAATGACTTATAATACATGTGGCCACCCACTTTGAGTAAAATTTAAATTTTTTTAGGTGCAAAAAAAATCAACAAATCAAAATAGATTTCTGTTCCAGAAATCAATTTCTGGAGCTGAATTAGTCATGTTTTACCAAACAGATTTCTCCTCTAGAAATTAATTTCTGGAGCAGAATTAGTCATGTTTTACCAAACAGATTTCTCCTCCAGAAATCAATTTCTGGCAAGAATTTCAGAAATCAATTTCTAGCAAGAATTTGATTTCTGGAGCAGAATGGTTACCATTCGCACCCTTAAGTTTCAGGTTCTGATTTCTCTTTTTTTAGTTGACCGGTGAAGCCTGATATTTTTTGTTAGCAAGGTCCCTCAGGGACCATTACCATATATATATATATATATGATACCTATGAAAAGAACAATTTTATCCCGCATCTTTTTCAAAGGGTAAAAGCATTAGCAGGCTTAGATAGGCAAACGTAGATCCCCACCAAAGTCATAGTTGCTTCCAAAAGCGACATTTTTGTCAAGATGGGGAAGCAAAATCCGTTTGCGGAATCGTATGCGGTGGGTTCGCGGAACAGCAAATACCGCGAACTTTTCCGGAAAAGGCAGAAAGGGTTGTCCAGTCTCCATCTTCGTGTCTCCAGCATCTTCTCCTCTTCAACGACTCTGGTTTAGTTTTAGACGTCATGAGTAATGATTGTGGAGGTCCACGTCCACCCACTCCTCTCCACACCGTGAAGCGACTGGCCGACATGGGGTTGTGAAATTTAGAAGACTTGACTTGAGTCGAGATGGAAACCACCCTCCAGGTCTGTTCTGTATTTTGGTTGTCAGTGGGCCTCTCCCGAAAGTTCCTCTCGCGTAAAGTTGAGGTGCCGTGACCGGTGATTTGTCCGGAAGTGTGGGCGGCGGAGTCCAAGCTCTACCAGGAATCTTCATGGCCAAGTTTTACGTCGACACTTCGTCGAGCGCTTGGCCTGCCTTCATTTCGCGCCCAGCAAAAGATTTATTTTCGGGAAAGCTAACTGCCCTTCCAGGAAACTTCCATGTCAGCGGGTCCTCGTCAACTGGGCTGGGCTTTCTATATTCATGCCAAGCAGGGCGGAGCAGCTGAAACTTGTAAACTCAGTGAACCCCTCGGTCTCTCTTGTGTTCGTGCTTGCTTTTACTTCTGTTACTCCAAGGTGGTCACTTTTTCTGATTTCGCTGAAAAGCTCATCTTGGGTCTGACGTGAATTTTGCAGACTGGTTTTTCTTTTTGGTTTGCTACATCCATTGTTGCACTGTACAGCGAAAAATGGTCTTCAACTGTAAAGGGTTTTACTTCGATGAAGAAGAGGAGGCATTCCGCAAAAATTCCGCTGAGAAACGAGCAGAGGAGGTGAGTCTTGCAGTTGTTTGATCATGTTCCCGAGTTAAGTTTCTGATGATGATTGCTTGACCCACTTTTGCTTTTCTTGATACCATTTTTTGTTGTCTGTATTGAACATCTGTAGCTTCCTGTTGATGAGAAGAGCAAAAAACCCAGAGGCAGCAGGGCGAAACGAGTAGTCCCGGTGGCTAATGCCGACACCCTGTGTAGTAATCAGACAGAATATGATGGTGCTGACGACCAATCAAAGAAGACCTTTAAAGCCATTAATGGTATGTGACACAATGTTTATTTCATGTTGTTGATATTCAAATTGAGTCTGTTAAAAAATTTGACAACTAATCAGAGTGCATCACTGCAGGGTCATGAAAGTTGCAATCAGAATTCGGTAGTTAGAATGTATCGATTGAGTGCAGGAGATGTGATTTATTAGTATTGGATTAAAACATTAGAGATATATCCACCTTCTGACTCAATTATATAAGAAATTTGTGATATGTTACCTGTTGTTGTGACTCTCTTTAAAGACTGAGCTACAAAGCCAGTTTAATCTTCTTATTCCTAGTGTTTCCAGTCATTCATACTACCCAGCTTTGATCTAGAGCTGGTATTACCCATACTGCTACTATATACTGGATTTTGGTTTTCAGATTTAGGGGGAGCAAATTCAAAGAATGGCTCAAGGAGATCAAGAGTGGCACCAGATGAAGATAGTTTTGAAGAACAAAAGCCCCAGAATTTTGAGCAGTTCCACCCCTGGCCACCAAAAGGCAATCATCGAAGTGATGACAAGAAACCGAAGGAGAAGATTGAGAACCCTTCAGCTGAGAATTTTCTGGACGAGGTAATTCTTTTGTGGGTGCCCATCTCTCTCACGATGAACAATGTTAGAGGTGCTAAGAAAATCTACTGACTTGTCTACTAGAAAGTGTGTCAAGCATTCATTGCGACCCATCTTGTTTTGGAGTCCCCTTCGGATACTTTCCATATAATGGTGCCATTTATATTGTCACATCATTCAGTGTACTAGTCTTTAGTAATAGACTTATATATCCAGCAGTGTTTCATTTGTTGTATGGGCTAATGACGAAGAGCCTTGTTAATTATGAGTGAGCTAACATTTTGTTTATTGGCCGTCTTTAGAGTGTTCTGCTGAGGATCTTGCACTGCAACTGTGATTCTTGTAGACGGGTGATTTGTAGAGGAGCCAGGAAATTTAAAGGTCAGAGCACAATGTCAGGAGTTTTTTTAGCTTTATTGCTCAAAACAAAGGATTGTCGAAGAATGATCTGGAGACAAGCTGAAACACTAATAAAAGGAATGATCATCGATTCATGATCTGCATCCTCTTGAGAATAGATGAAATTTACAAATAACCACTCTTTATTTTCCAAACGAAAAATATCACCAAAAACCTTAAACTATGTTATTTGTGACAAATTTACCCTGAACTTTTTTTTGTGACACGAAAAACCCCAAACTATGCCATATATGACACATTTACCCCACAATACTTTGGCCCATGGGCATTTTCGTCTTTTTCCTTTTTCTGTTTTTTTTACTTTTTCTTTTCTTTTCTTCTCCGGCGAGGGCAGCCCTCGCCTGAGTCGGGCGAAGTCGCCCGACGCCGGATCGAGGGCGACTTTGCCCGACTCAGGCGAGGGCTGCCCTCGCCGAATCTGGCAAGGGCGGCCCTCGCCCGACGCCGGCGAGGGTCGCCCGACGCCGGCGAGGGTCGCCCTCGCCTGGGCAGGCGAGGGCAGCCCTTGCCAGATCCGGCGAGGGCAACCCTCGCCTGAGTCGAGCGAAGTCACCCTTGCCAGATCCGGCATCGGGCGAGGGCAGCCCTCGCTCGACGCCGGCGAGGGTCGCCCTCGCCGGAGAAGAAAAGAAAAAAAAAGGAAAAAGATGAAAATGCCCATGGGCCAAAGTATTGTGAGGTAAATGTGTCACAAGTGGCATAGTTTGGGGTTTTTCATGTCACAAAAAAAGTTCAGGGTAAATTTATCGCAAGTGGTATAGTTAGGGATTTTTCGTGTCACAAAAAAAAGTTCTGGGTAAATTTGTCACAAGTGGCATAGTTTGGGGTTTTTGGTGGTATTTTCCCTTTTCCAAATATCCAGTTAGTGTGTTTCCTGATTAATATTTTGAAGTTATCATCCTGCAAATTATGGCTATAAGCATTTAAGTAGTTGTTTTCTGTCGCCAAAATCTTCCGAGAGATTAAATACACACTAAAAGATACCAGTTCAGAATTAGTAACTTGATGTAATAATATGGTTGAGCATGTGCACGTCCATTTAACTTTTGTTGTTTGGATTACATTGTTGACTTGGCCTTTCCCCCCTTTTCTTGGGTTAAACTCTACATCCTTAAGTTTCTCTCTCTATAATCTTTTGACGACTTTTGTCATGGATGGCAGGGGTTAGTGCAGTGTCTGCAGACACCAGCACAGATCTAGTGAGAGTGACGGGTAAAATGGATGTGAATGAACTTTTAATTCATCTCAAGAAAAAGCTGAAGAAGAATGTGGAGGTGGTACCTGCTGAAAAAGCCGATTACCTTGAGAAAGACAGAGAGTGTAAGGGGCTTATCCATTTTACATAAGGCTTGTCCTATGTTTTTGATTAGCAGGTTAATTGGATTCCCTAAGTAGCAAGCAGAGGCTAATTGAAAAATTTCATAGTTTTTCAGAATTGTAAATGGCATGCATTTGAATCCATTTGATATTTTGTAAAGATGATATTGATGAGGAAAGTACTTATAGAGAGAAGGAAAGGACTTGAAAGTTCAAAGCAGCATCTGTTTGTTTTCTTATTACTTAAATGTGCTTTCAATTTCTTCTTCTTGTTTCTGTTGTTACAATCTTCCTGCGTTTCAAGTCTCCTATCAAGAATCACCCAAGTTCTTGTTTGCACATAGGGAGATCCTCGAGGAAGAGGATGCAGATCATGTGATGATCCTCACTACTCCTATATTGTTTCTGTGAAGAGGAAGACAAATACGATTTGTGTGGATTAAAATAAATTGGTAAAAGAAATTTCTTAGAGCGGTAGGTGGCAACAGAGGAGATCATCAAGACAAATTTACTTTTGTTACTAAGACCAATTGATGTATGAAAACAGGTTTAGAGACTTATAATTACTACAACGCCAGATTTTACTTAACGTATTCCCTTTAATCTCTCCAGAAAGCATTTTCAAAATTGAATAGTTCTGAAGGCAGAATTGATACATTGTTGGAATGCCTATTTTAGTCAGATGTCCAATTGTTTGCTTATGAACTTAAAGCCTCCCAATTGGAAATTAAATCTTAGGTGCATGTTGAGCATTCTTTGTACACAAACCAATTAATTAATGATTCTCTGCTATCAGATGATAGAAACACAGACAAAATGATTGACAATCTCTCAAGCAAATCAAGAGTAAAGAAGAAAGTGGAACCTGCAAAACTGGAAGAGATGCTCGCGGAGCAGAACTCTGAGAATTCTGAACTCTCCTTGCGTCAACTTGGAGGTAACCATGGCAGTGACTTCATGGAACCACATCAGAAGATAGAGATCTCAGGGAACCAAAAGACTCACAAAGAGGTGACCTTTTTTGGCAGTAGTTTCTGCTTGCTCTGCTGGTTCGGCAACGAGCTTTATGATCTCTTGGGTTTGAGCTAATTGTTGTTATTGGCTACCTCTAGGGTTCAAGTCCGCTGCATTTGAGAATCAGAATGCATTGCACCTGTGGAGGTTGCACCAAGAAGATGAAGGATATCTTCAAAAGATTTAAAGGTCAGTAAAGCATTGTCGAAGATCCCAGTGCCTTTGGTTTCAGTTTCTCAAATTGGAAAACTCATCACATAATGCAGTTAGTCTAGAAGGAAATGTGCGTGTGAGTAATGTCAAAATGTGGTCTCTGCCATTTGCTTGAATATCTCGAGTAATAGTTCACCATCATCGTTGGGACTGTTACCAAATTATCTTTGCATCATAATCATAGAAAATTTACTGGCTTCAGATACTTACGATTTTCTTTAGTTCACTTTTTACTTCTAAAATTAGTCCTTTCTTAATGCATCAAACTTATGTCGTTCTAGAAAATCTCAAATGACCTGAAAAATTCATGTTGAATAATTGTCTTAACAGATGCAGCACTTAGATCATGGTAAATTATCTTATATCATGCTTGTATTTGTTTGTTTTTTAAAATAATGCATTCTCCATTCGATGACAAAAGCATAGATCACCTCCTCCACTTTTCTTTTTTTCTGATGTTCTCTGGGAAATAAATGGTATGGCCTTTGCAAAACATACTGCTTTATCCTTAGTTGAACATCTTCAGCAGCTAAGCATCCTATATTTGATGTCAATGCAGGAGTTGACTCGGTTAAGGTACAGTCAGACAAGGATATGGTGCGAGTGACAGGAACATTGGAATTGGATAAACTTGTCGTCTACCTTGAAGAGAAGCTCAAGAGGAACGTGGAAGTAATACCCACTGAAAAAGATGAAAATGGTGCCAGTCCCTCTCAAATAGACACAGCAGGTAAGGAGCTTATATATTTATTTGAGTTTTAAGTGTTCATGGATCATTGAATTTTCTTACATTGTGAATTACAATAAAGGGTCATGATAGTCTTAAGGCTCACGGGATTATAGGTGTTGTTCTCTTGTAAAGCGGTTCTTTCTATATAATTGGAGCAATCTCTACTCTCCAAAACTATGTATAGTCCCTCCGTTACACATCAAGCAGAGGGAACAGTTGAATTTAATCGAGATAGTGAAACTTTGTGGGATGTGTGTTGATTTACTTTAAGAGAAGCAGAAACAGAAATTTTGAAATATGTTAACTGGACTTTGGTTTCATCACTGTCACTTCCGAACGTTATTGCCTATCCACTTTGCCCTATCTACAATCTCACCACTTTCCAATCTTAACATGAAAATCCAGGAGTTCCAAGTGTAGATGTATTACAATCAAAGCCTCATGTGCTAACTGTACAGATGGCAGGGTAAATAAATGGTCATGTGAAGAGTGAAATTATGGAAGGATGGAATAGTAACTGAGATGATAAGTATGAGTGATGAGCACAAATTTATTGTTGAATGTATTACACAGAAAAGGTTTCTTCTATTGGTCACGAAATCTTCAAACACTCAGTTATAAAGTTTTCTGGTCAAAAGAAAAGGTTCCAGAATCCAGATTTCTTTTCGCTGATTACGTGGTTTTGGTTCATCAGGTGTTGGGCACATTGTAAACATAACTGACAATGCCTCAAGGAAAAAGGAACTATGCCCGGATGTGCAGGTGAAGAAAAATCTTGAGAAGACTGAACTTACACTTCCTCGGCCTAGGGAAAGGGATAGGAATGATAATGAGGTGAGTTTGATAACTTGCAACACTGGGAGAAACGCGAGGAAATGCTGTCGTGACATGTAAATCTTCTCACTCACCAGATAGGGAGAGCAGAAAATTGCCTCGTTTATAAACATATGCTTGTTCAATCAAAAAAATAAAATAAAATAAAATAAACATATGCTTGTTTAAGTAGCCTTATAGACTTGTTCATTACCAGCTAATTTTAAGTTAATATGAGACGTCCATGAATTATAAGAAGTCAGGAGAAGAAAACTGATTACCATTATTGGCTGGATCCAGGTAACGGGTATGGTGCATTTGAAGATCAGAATGCACTGCCATGAAGGATGCATTCCGCAAACACGAAAAACTGCAATGGAATTTACTGGTTAGATAGCAAAGTTCTGTTAGTGTCTGGAAACTGTTGGTGTACCTTGTTTCTAATTTTTTACTGTCACTGTACTTGCTTGAGGGTGTGATAACATGTATATCCCCTAACAGAAATAACTATTTGCAAGAATTTCTACAAGCTGCTTTCCACCGGAAAACTTGTCATCTTATATTCAACTAAGTATACATAGTGCTCAGAGGAAGTCGTGAGTTCACTTGACTAATTAGCACGTGGAGTACCTGTGCAGATAGTATTGTCTTGATTGTTCCAGGAGTGTCAGGAGAGATATACACATTAGTGGAGTAATATTGCATTGGTGTATCTGATTTTTCTGCTGAAGCTACAGTTTAGCAGTTGTGCCCGATATCACTGAAGAGAAATTACATTTTGCAGGAGTTAAATCAGTCAAAGTTGACGCAAGTAAGCATCTGGTGATCATGGTTGGTGCAATTAACGTGAAAGAACTTGTAGTCTACCTGAAAGAGAAGCTGAACCGAAGTGTGGAGGTGATTTTTGTTCAAAACGACAATGTAGCTGGTGGCAATAAAGATGTGGAGGTGAATAAAATAGAGACTCTTAAAGAGCCTGCAGCTGCTCGTGCAGATGGTAGGAACAACAAGGATGCAGAGATCAAGAAAGAAGTTAAGAAGTTAGTTAAGGATATAAAAATCAAGAAAGAAGTTGAGGATGTGAAAGAGGAGGATAAAAAGTATTCTCTTTGTGATGGAGGAGATGGTACCAAAGATGATAAAGAGGATAAGAAAGGAAGCCGAGTTGATGACAAGGTCCAAGAGGCCAAGGGACATGGATGTATATCTCATGTTGGGGAAAAGCATAAAGAGCTTGAAGCGGAAGGTGAAAACCAAACTTATTATCAAAATTATGGCGAGCAACTTTATCCTAGATATGAGCCATCTGATTTTGACTATACACCAGGGGACCGCAATTGTGGGATTCAGATATTCAGTGATGAAAACCCCCATTCATGTGCCATCATGTGAAGGCTATGATCTTGGGTGTTTGACAAATATTATGAAGATCCAAAGCATAAGGGCATACATGGGTCAATAAAGAGTGAGGAAACAGAGAGATTATTCATGAAGACATTGTGCATTTTTATGTGAAAAGGGGCAAGAAGGTAAAAGATTGGAGTGGATTTGGTGCAAGGGCATGTTTTAAATTGAAGTTGAATGATGTGGGTCTACTTATTGTGGAAGGCACTTGATACTTGAGAAATAACAGCAAACGGGAGATATGGCTTTTCAGTACCAACTCTAGTTGTTGGTATGCATTTTTTAGATTATTTAGTTTTGCAAGTGTGCAAATTATATATTCTGTAGCTTGTTTTTCACACTTTACATGAACCGATAGATCTTTATGTATACGGGTTCTGGGTAAAGAGAGCACCTCGTGGTGCCTTGAAATGATTTTTATTCTCTTTCTCCACTCGTCTTTTGTACTCATTCTGTCCGTCAAAATGTATATAACAGAAGTTACAATGCAGGCTTTTTTCCATATGGACAATGCCGGTCCGATTGAACTAAAGTAATAAGACCTACTTTTTTTCTTTCAGCATATTCAGGAATTTGCTTTTTCTTCAACTCGACTTTGTTTATATCAGAACTCTCTTCTTTAAGAAGTAGAGATGCATATAAAATGGAAGTTTGTGTCCAATAAGACTCCTACAACCAAGCTCATCTCCAAAGTTACTGATTGTCCTCAGAATATTGATAAGTTACAAACAGAGTGAATGATACCAGATTACGTCTCTGTTACTTGTTTTTACCTCAGCAAGACCCTAAAGATTACTGAGATAGGATTGACCGAATGATCAAGGCCTGATCTAGATAAAGCAGTTCTCATGTTTGAATTATATTACCTCTCTCATATAGAAACTATGCCTATCGACATTACCTTACACGTGGTTTACTTGTATCGATAGGGACTAATCAAATTGAAAGCTTCGTATACACTGGAATATAAGGAAATATCCGGGACATATGACTCGGCACTCACCAAATCAAGAAGCCTAGCTACTCAAGACAAAGAAATCCAAGTTTGCATATAAGTATTCCCTTCAATTCAGCCCTCAGTTTGACAAGAACCAGTCAAAAGCCCAATCAATGATGATATACATAATAAACCGAACTTGCAGCATGATGTCTTCGTCAACGTTTTAATATATTTTAGGAAATATCACAGTTTCAAAAGACCATCTTCCGAACATCAGATGTACCTAAAGTCACAAATGGTCATTGCCAAAATATTAGTTTTTAGAAACTGGCAAACGTGTTGAACGAGCCTATAACATACAGCAGCAAGAGAGTTATATATACTTTTAAAATTTTTATTTTTTGGTAAAGAACAATATCTGGCTCATACCCACCCATGAGTAGCTCAATTGGTTAGGGCGTACTTGGGATTGTGTGGTTAGGCGCACTGGTCCTAGGTTCGATTCCCCAGCTGAGCACTTGTGATTTAAGTGGGGGGCCATGGCGGTGGGTTGCTATGCTAGTCTCCCCCGAGGAATAGTCGAGGTGCGCGCAAGCTGGCCAGGACACCTCGGTTACCAAATATATATATATCTGGCTCATATGCAGTCAACAAGTAGGTAGCTCCTTCACTAAGCATGACAATCTTTTACCAACTCGCTATTATAGATACCGTCTTCAAGAACAAGAGAGTCCATCCTTAATTTTGACACTTGTGTCATCTGTATATATTATTAAAAACTTGTATTCTATATTTATCGTGTCTCATTTGATAATTCGTACTTAATAAATTGTTACTTATGTTTAGGTTATAATATTCATTTTCAGACTATGGAACTCTGATGTAACTTACCTCTAAACTTGGCTTCCAAGAATGAAGAACATGAACCATGCGAACCCCAACTACTAAATTTCTTTTTATATCTTGAGCAAGAGAAATTGTCAAGAACAATCTACGCAATTGTGCTGTATGTAGCTCGGAGCTGGTCAGCATTTTCACTACAATGGGCCCGGATCATTTTTCTAAGTAGCAATCCCCACTGTTCACTACGTCAGCCAAATGATATTTTAGGATGAAGATATGAGACCCAAACAAAGCAAATTCGTTGACTTGATAAGTCTTACCTAAATAAACATCGGTTTTGTTGAGCGATTGAAAGCTACTAGTCTTGAGAGAGAACCTCTAAAGATGGCCTCGCACGCAGGTTCTTTGGTCAAACGACAGGTTCTTGTATAGTTCGTGAAAAATAACGAACAGCTTTCGAATGGTAGTGTTAGAAAAAACAATGCCTGCATAATAAAGTTCTACATATAGAATAGCCCTCGATTCCATAGATCGAATCCAATGCACATCAAAGTTCTAGCGGTATTGGTGAAATATTTTTCATTCTACTAAAGCTATGTTAGGTCGAGTAGATGCCCAAAAAAGAAGGAATAATAATATAAATGGTCCCTAAACTTTGGCCTAATGTACAATATAATTTTTGAACTTTTAATTTGTTCAATGTGGTCCCTAAACTTTATCCCAATGTGCAATGTGGTCCCTGAACTTTTAATTTGTTCAATGTGAACCTTGAACTTTTGGTACATATTCAATTTAATCCCTGAACTACATGAAAAAGTTCAATGATGTCCATCTATTATTTCAAGTTCAAGGACAACATTGAACATTTTCATATAGTCCAGAGACTAAATTGAACATGTATCAAAAGTCAATGGATCATATTGAACAATTTAAAAGTTTAGGGATGACATTGCACATTGGGCTAAAGTTTAGGGACCACATTGAATAAATTAAAAGTTCAGGGACCACATTGTACATTGAGTCAAAGTTCATCGACAATTTGTGTCATTTTTCCAAAAAAGAAATATGAAGACTTGTACATTAGTACTTATTGCTTGCCACATAATTTCGAATAATAATTGAGCATTGTCAATGTTAGTATTCTAACAGATCCTAACGTTTTTCTTATGCATATCATCGGTTAAGACTGTTCAAAGGGCGGAAGGGTTGGGCGATGTGTTTCTTGATTCATACCCAGAAGCTTACCTCTTTGTCGTGTCATTCTTGTCTCTCCTCCAAAGGTCTTCGTCTACCACAATACATTAAACAAAGCAAACCGCTAAAGTCTCCTTAACCCAACACATCTTGCATATTCTTGGCGACGAAGAAACTCGCAAACAACGTACAATTACTGTCACGAAAGCTCGCAGCATAGGCTGATCTCTGCTAGCTGCTCCAACTCTCCTACGAGGCTAATCTGGTGGATAGCAAAATCTTCACGTCTCAAACTCTTCTGTTCCACTTTTTGTTTTCTTCCTTTTCTCTTATTGTCTGCCAAACTTCGTGCATGGCAACGTGTTTTACATTCATCATTGGTAATATTATTGACGTTGTTGGATTTTGTAGTGCATATACATGGTCATACGTTACAAAGAGTTCTGTTTTGACGTGGATGAGAGTGGTCTTGTCTGCACCGGTAACAGACAAGCAGATGAGGTAAAGTTTTTCCGCTTTTGCTCTCATATTCATTGGGAATTCAATAAAAACTAGGCAACTAAGCTAAATTCCACCTGATCTCACATCAAACGTAACGAGAATCACAAGACAAGGAAAGAAACGAATTCCATATAATAAGGCGAACGCGTGCATATGAAGGAAGATCTCTTCAATAACTAATACGAAAAACAATCTTTTAACCTACGGGTATACTTTCCTTCTTGTTTTGGCAGCAACTAACCGGCAAATCTGGAAAAGGGAGCGCCCCCAGCTCCAGCACCGTGAAGGAAAGAAAGAAATTCCAGATTTTTTCAAGGGATAAGGGTGGAGGAGTTAGCAAAGTAGAGAAGGTTGCTGCTGGAAACGAAGGTAAAATAATTGTTCGCCACAAATTGTTTGCAGTTAATCTGCTGAGTCAGTAAGTTTCCATGATCTCAGCAGGCTCATAGTCTCACCGCATTAGATTCTCCAATAGCCATGCACATATTCAGCAACTTTATCTTATCTTGCGAAAGTATATGTATCACATGAACATAGTCAGCCTCTCTTTTTTAGCAAGTGCAATGAAGAAAGATCAAATATAAGTTTGCTTCTAAGTGAAAGTACCCAGCTCTTACATGGGACTGTTTGTAGTTTCTTCTAGCCTCTGGTATTATAGTTCTGTTGTCTATGAACATAGAAAGCATTTTGTGACAAAGTGTGGGTGCTGGTGATGTTGCAGTCTGAAACCTACCGCAGCACAAAAGCTCACGCAGGTGCTTCCTAGAGCACGTCTGTGTGGCTTTTGAGTTGCTTCCAGAACTCCAAACGCTTTTGTTTCCTAGAGCTGTAATATCTTAAGAGAGCCAAAAGCACCCGAAAAGAGCTAAAGCTATTGCAGAGAAACACTCAGGCACACCATCGCAAACATCCACTCCGCCTTTGAGCTCTTCTAAGACGTTAAGGTCTCAACTCACAATTTTATTATAGACTCTCTCATTAAGAGGTCAGCTTCAAGCTAGAAGTCTAACTGCTAGAAGACACGGATGAGTGCAATAGATAGAAATGTAGACTGCCTACAATTTACGTGCAGGAAAACAGAAAACTGTTCCCGTGCATATATTTTTGTCATCTATAGACTACATTGTTGTTCTGAGAATGACAAAGAATTTGCTGCTGGCCTAGTTTACAGTAAAGAAAAAAGAATCTAGCAGACAAAACTCATTGACCAAAAGATTAAAATACAAGCTGCCCGAGGTATGCTAAAACATTCGCTAGTTGTAGTGGAAATCCCATGTAAACGCAGCTCTCAAATCTAAGTCTTAAGAGCTTATTTTATACCTGCTCTTGGATTTGAGCCGCCCGGGTACCAAGACTTGCATATTGATGATATTTCCAAGAAAGACTCTGGACAGAGCAAAAGCAGAAGAGAGGACACAGAAAAAAAGCATAAGAAGTATGATCGACAACTCTCACCTGCCCCAGCCAAAAAGCAGCCATGGTAGGAATCACAAGGAACTGCCTAAGTTTTTCTGCTCTTTGTTTTCTTTTGGTGTACTACATCTTCACTTATCTAGAAAGGCAGAAGCTCCTAGTTAATATTATATAAAACGTCTAGTCCTCAACCTATAAAGGCCAAAGCAGAGAAGTTGCTTCTCCAAACTGTTCCCCAGAAAAGCTTTTTACTTGAACAGTTTTTGGATTTAAGTGAATATACAATTAACACGCCAAAACTATACTATAAATTATGACATATATGTGTGAATCTGTTCATTTTTTCATGAAAGTCACAGTAATAACAATTGCAAGAATCCATATTACCGCTAAGTTGAGGCTAGAATTAAAGGCTTGGGCTGAAACTCTTTAGAAAAAAGCTGTTTTTTTCAGCCAAGTAAAGAGTATAAGACCCAGCAAACAATACCCATATTTCCATGGCATGACCCATGTTGCAATTCACATGAAACCATGGACTCCCAAAATCTCGTATCAGCTTTCCTCCTATTTCGTGGCCCTGTTCATCAGGTACAAATGATGTTAAGGTTGAAAATGTTGCAGAGAAATCAGGAGTTAAGGATTTGGAATGGGAATCAGTAAAGTTAAAAGAGAGGTTCCAGGAGCAGCAAGAGCACAAGAGTGAGAAATGTGACCAGCTGGTCTCTCCTGCCCGGCTAAAAAGCAACCATGGTAGGAATTAACAGGAAAGGAATTGCACAAATGAACTGTGAATATTTGTATAGTCTAGATCTTTCAATGTAAAACCAAAAATGACTAAATTTCTTTGAGCTTCCACCAGGCACGAGGGACATCTACATTGACAGCATTCCAAGGAAATCACCACTCATCACAGGAGACAAAGGGAACTTAAAAGAAAGAAACGAAAAGGATAGGACCAACAGATTTGTGGTCTCCTCTCCCCAGGGTGGCGGCAACGCGATATTGTATGCAAAAGAGAGCCTGTACAGTCGGAAGAAGAATGAGACAAAGGTAATATTATTACGAGCAGATGAAATCAAACATAGCCTTAGAAGGACTAGTTTAATCATAGTTACTCTTCTACTTATTTTCAGAGATACTATGAGTTTTCTTATGAGAAAAATATTGCTATTATCATCGTTACTTTTTGGTGAACGAGAAAAGTTTAATTGTGCATGGGTGGGTGGCTCCAGAGATCGAGCACTTTGGTGCTCAGGATCAGACTGCATTGTGATGACTGCATTCGGAAAATACAAAAGTACATTTTAAAGTACAAAGGTAAGATGGACAATCTCCAGTCAATGCTCAACATTCGGGGCTTATTTTACTAAACTGACTACATCCACATGATTGTCCCAAGTTACTGTCGAGAAATCTATGAGGAAACAATGTTAGATAATTAGGCTATGCAAGTACAACATTTATATAAAGAATGTGCATGTTGAAAAACTAATAGATAATCATCATATCTTTTAGATTTCTTCTACTTCTCCCAAGTAGGTAAAGTACTTTTTCATTCTTTACTGAATTATGCAACAACCAACATGACTTCTTGTCAATTGAGTCAATATAGCGTGATTCGTCATTCATATTGATCGAAATGTTAATGCAAATGTCAGAATTAAGGTACCCTACAAGCGTATAAATATATGAAAGGTGGAAAAAAGGACAAAAGGAGGAATTCTATGACGAACCTATTGATCCCTATTAATTTTCTAGTGCTAGTACTCAGTAGCCTGTGGCCTTTCTCATATCACGCCACTAGCCAATTTCTGCAGACATTATTGATGTTCCTATATGAAGAGTGTTTATTGTAAATGGCAGGAGTTGAATCGGTGGTTATAGATGCAAGCAAGGATCAAGTATCAGTGACAGGGGTAGTGGAAATGAAAGAACTCGTACCTTACCTGAAAGACAAGATCAGGAGGAATGTTGAAGTGATTCCCACAACAAAAGGAGGTGATGAAGAGATTAAAGACAAGGTTAATACGGGTGGTCTTGGTGGTGATGAAGATTATGGCAAGAAAGAAGAACAAACTCCGCTCACCAAGAATGTAAACCAAAGAGATAACCACTGGTCACTACCTCATCCTATCACACATTCGAACGATGGAGAAATCCATAATTGGAATTATGGCACGGAAGCTTACCAAGGTTACATGAATCAGGGAGCTGCATATCAGCGATTCAATCAATCATATGCCTCTGACATTTTCAGTGACGAGAACCCTAATGCCTGCTCCATCATGTGACAGATCAGTTGTGCTCGAGAACATGGATTAAGAGAGATTGTGCTTGAGAATGCTGTAAATAACCAAGTATGCAGTGTATATAGGTCTTTAAGGTCAAAGAAGCGTTTCCAAAGTCATTATGTTGACAAAAGAAAGGTAATACTTCCCTAGAAAGGAGGAAAATGAAAAGAGTAAGGGGAAACTATTCATTTAGAGTGTAGCTGCCAGTTGGGACACTTGAGCCCTGCTAACACATTTGGCCAGATCAGAGTGACTAAACTGGTTGTCTGCTGTCATTTGCTCCTATCAAGCGGGGCTGAACTCTGCCATATAGGTGGATGGGGATTTGGGATCATACTAGGTTACTGCTAGTCACAGATACAAATGAAAAATGCGGTGGCCTACTGTTGTGTCTATTCGGTTCTCTGGTTTGGTAGTCAATATACAAAGTCGCCATGCTTTATCATACAACCTTAGCTCTCTCACAGAAATAATCATAGAGCTTCCCCTAACTGTTTGCAATTTTGCATGCACGTCAATGATCTGTATCTAACCCTAATTCATCCTCAAGTGACACCTAGCGTAACCAGTTTCCTGTCCCCAAGCCAATCACTACTAAAATTTCCACTTCCATCTCCCTGGTGGACTTACAATGAATCTTAATTACATGATTCTGCAGATAAAATACATAGAAGAATAAAAATTTGCCACCACAGATCAAGGAAAATCTGATTTGCAGGATATGTTGATCAGGTTCATTATTTTACCCCAGAACAATTATTTGGACCCACAGATCCCTCAAGCAATTATATATCACCATCACAGCAGCTTTGATAGATGCGTCTTCTCCCTGTTTTAGTTGCAAAAATTCTTTAAATTCATCTCTGATGGGGCATGTGAAAAAGCTCACATTCAAGGAGGCGAGACAAGTCCAAAAGGTGCAAAGTATTCACCTTTTCTTTCCATAAAAACATATTTCCATATTTTTCAGCCAAACGACTCCAAAAGCTATGCGGAATGTCTAAATTTACAGAAGCTCCTACATTTAAGTAACTTCGTGTAGGTTTTTCGTGCGAAAGTTTGAGCCCCTTCAGTTGCAGTTTCGGACTGTTCAGACTCCTGCCACTGAGAGCTCCTGATGTCAAACTAGTCGGTCAGACGTTTTGACGGAACCAAACACTTTTAAGTGTAAATAGCACCACTACTGATATCACGCAGCTTGATGATAATAAGTGTGTTGGTTTTCTACGGAACATGCATAGTTAAAATTAAATATAAACGCAGCAGAAAGATATAATCATATATGTATCTCCAAAGGCGTTGTTCGTGCGTTTTAATCAAAAATCGAAAGATCATAAGGGGTTAAACGGATTACCTCTTATAGCGTGTTCAAGACGATTTCGGTTCGAATGTTCTTCAGTTCGAACCCCACAATCATCGGACCTCTAGTTCAGAGACACCACCAATCGCACAACAAACGGAAGAAAGAACTTGCAGGTAATCACCATTATAATTGTGCTAGCAATCTCGTAGTGACAATTCTTCGTACTCTCAATATTTCAGTCACAGCGCCAGAAGACAGAAAACGTAATTTTTAACTTTCACGAACACATGATAATTCTCTTACTTGCACTCTTTCTTCTCTATTCGGCAACTGTTGCTGATCCCACTTTATTTGTGCGATCAGCAATGGTTGCTGATCGCCAGGCACCCTTCACATGATCAGCAACCGTTGCTGATCGTGTGTGCATATAGCACACGACCAGCAAGCGTTGCCGGTCGTGGGTGATGCCCACGGTCAGCAACAGTTGCTGACCGTGTGCATGCACCACCCTCTTTTTGTTTTTTAAATTAAAACACGCACGATCAGCAAGGAGCTGATACTGTTAGGTTTGTTTTTAGAAACCAAAAATGTTAGGTTTGTTTTTGTAACTTGATTAATAGAAATTGTTAAGAACAACCTACTCAAGTATGCTCCATGTTTCGATAAAAAAAAAATCATGCTCCCTGTAACTTGGAGCTGAACAGCATTTTGACGACAATGGGCACGGATCAATTATCTAAGTAGCAATGCCAATGTTCACTAACGTCTTTTCAACCATATGACCTTTTAGGATGGAGTTGAAGGACCCAAACAAAGCAAATTCATTGACTTGATAAGTCTACGTAACTAAACGTCAGTATTTTTTTTTTTTTTCTGAATGATTGACAGCTACTAGTCTTTGAGAGAAAGCCTCTTAAGATGGCCTCTTGTGCAGGTTCTTGTTTAGTTCGTGAACAAAAAGACAATCTGTTTGTCGAACAGGTTCTTTCTTGATTCATACCCAGAAACTTCCCTCTGTCGTGCTCTTCGCCCATCATAGGACACTGACAAAATTCCGATCGACTCAACACGTCTTGTATGAACATAAGCTGATCTCCGCCGTCTCCTCCAACATTCTTTGGAGGCTAATCTGGTAAGTGACAGAATCTTCACATGTCAAACTCTTCTTCTGCTTACATTCATTGTCGGTGATATTATCAACGTCGTCGGGTTTTGTAGTGCACACATGGTCATACGTTGCAAAGGGTTCTATTTTGATGTGGATAAAGGTGCTCGTGTCTGCACTGGTAGCGAACAAGCTGATGAGGTAAAGTTGTTCTGCTTTTGCTCTCATATTCGTTGGGAATTCAATAAAACTAGGCAACTAAGCTAAATTCCAACTGATCTCACATCAAACTTAATGAAAACCACAAGACAAAGTAAGAGAGGAAATTCCATCTAATAAGGTCAACGTGTACATATGAAGAGAGATCTCTTCATTAACTACAACAGAATAATACTCTTGTAATCCATGGATATACTTTTCTTCCTTGTTTTGGCAGGAACCAACTGGCAAAACTGGAAAAGCCACCAGCTCCAGTGCCAAGAAGAACATCAAGATACTCGGCAGATTATCAAGGGGTAGAGGTGGAGGACTTAGCAAAGTAGAGAAGGTTGCTACCCGAACACAAGGTAAAAGGATTGTTTGCCACAAAATGTTTGCTGTTAATTTGCTGAATCAGCAAGTTTCCTTGATCTCAACGGGGCTCATATTTCTGATAAAAAAAAAAGGCTCACATTCTAATTGCATTAGATTCTCTGATAGCCGTGCACATATTCAGCAACCATATCTTATCTTGCGATTTATATATATCACATTAACATTATCGGCTTCTCTTTTCTAGCAAGTGCAAAAACGAGAAAATAAAAGGTAAGTTCTCTTCTAAACGAAAGTAACCAGCTATTTAAGAGCTTACTTGGGACTGTTGCAGTTCCTTCTAGCCTCGGGTTGTGACAAATTGTGGGTGCCTATAACTTTGCAGTCTAAAACCAACCGCACCCCAAAAGCTCCAAAAGCATGTAGGTGCTTCGTAGAGCGCATCAGTGTGGCTTTTGAATTGCTCCCAGAACTCCAAATGCTTTTGCTTCCTACAGCTGTAATATCTTAAGAGAGCCAAAAGCACCCTAAAAAAGCTAAAGCTATTGCAGAGAAACACTCACGCACACCATCGCAAACATCCACTCTGCCTTGGAGCTATTCTGAGATGTTTTGGTCTCAACTCACAATTTTCTTATAGACTCACTTTTTAAGAGTTCAGTTTACAAGCTAAAAGTCTTAACTGCTAGAAGATGCTGATGTATATTAGTGAGAGAGAGAGAGAGAGATTTGAAAATGAAAAAAAAAAAAAGCAGATGATGGGTTAAAAATGACGTCTTATATTTAATATGGTCGTCATCATGTAGATCAAGTTACGATAAATTTGGCCTCAAATTCTAACCTCAAGTTGTCTCTCCCACTAAAATTCCATACGAATAGAGCTTTCCACAAGAAAATTTATTAACTAATTGATAAATGTATAGTGTGTTAACCCAAGTCCACGTTGCACGGGTATGTCACTAGTGTCTTTCACGTGATACAAGCAGTTAACGCAAATCCAACAATGCTCCATCAACACACCTGGTGGATTAACCAATCATGATCCTAAAACTTAGAGAAATTCCCTAGTACTTCACAAGTATTCTCACACATTTTTCTCCTTTTTTCTATGAGTACCTAGTCTCAACGTAATGGTTCCTATATGTCCTAAACATTATGCAGTGTCCAATTTGCAACATAATTCGTCCAAACCCGACTCTCAAATCTTATGTCTTAAGAGCTTATCTTCTACTTGCTCTTGCATTTGATCCATCAGGTACCAAGGACTTGAATATTGACACTCTCTCCGAGAAATCAGCTGTTGTTGAGACTGTGAACAAAGCAAATGCAGAAGAGAGGACCCAGGAACAAAAGCATAAGAAGTATGACCAGCTACTCTCCCGTGCCCAGCCTAAAAGCAGCCATGGTAGGAATCACAAGGAAATGCCTAAGTTTGTCTGCTCTTTCTTTCTTTTGGTGTACTAAATCGGAGCTCCTGGTTAATTTTATATGAAACTTCAAGTCTGCAACCCATAAATGCCAAAGCAGAGAAGTTACTTCTCCAAACTGTCCCTCAAAAGCTTGACTTTAACTGTTTTTTGACTTTAAGTGAAAATACAAATAATAAGCCAAAATTTATATTATAAAGTATGACACGTATGTATCTTTATGTTCTTTTTTTTATGAAAATCACAATTATAAGAATCACATGGAACTGCCTAAGTTTTTCTGCTCTTTGTTTTCTTTTGGTGTACTACATCTTCACTTATCTAGAAAGGCAGAAGCTCCTAATTAATATTATATAAAACGTCTAGTCCTCAACCTATAAAGGCCAAAGCAGAGAAGTTGCTTCTCCAAACTGTTCCCCAGAAAAGCTTTTTACTTGAACTGTTTTTGGCTTTAAGTGAATATACAATTAACACGCCAAAACTATACTATAAATTATGACATATATGTGTGAATCTGTTCATTTTTTCATGAAATTCACAGTAATAACAATTGCAAGAATCCATATTACCGCTAAGTTGAGGCTAGAATTAAAGGCTTGGGCTGAAACTCTTTAGAAAAAAGCTGTTTTTTTCAGCTAAGTAAAGAGTATAAGACCCAGCAAACAATACCCATATTTTCATGGCATGACCCATGTTGCAATTCACATGAAACCATGGACTCCCAAAATCTCGTATCAGCTTTCCTCCTATTTCGTGGCCCTGTTCATCAGGTACTAAAGATGTGAAGGTTGAAAATGTTGCAGAGAAATCAGCAGGAGTTAAGGATTTGGAATGGGAATCAGTAAAGTTAAAAGAGAGGTTCCAGGAGCAGCAAGAGCACAAGAGTGAGAAATGTGACCAGCTGGTCTCTCCTGCCCGGCTAAAAAGCAACCATGGTAGGAATTAACAGGAAAGGAATTGCACAAATGAACTGTGAATATTTGTATAGTCTAGATCGTTCAATGTAAAACCAAAACTGACTAAATTTCTTTGAGCTTCCACCAGGCACGAGGGACATCTACATTGACAGCATTCCAAGGAAATCACCAGTCATCACAGGAGACAAAGGGAACTTAAAAGAAAGAAACGGGGAGGAAAGGACCAACAGATTTGTGGTCTCCTCACCCCAGGGTGGCGGCAACGCGAAATTGTATGCAAAAGAGAGCCTGTACAGTCGGAAGAAGAATGAGACAAAGGTAATATTCTTACAAGCAGATGAAATCAAACATAGCCTTAGAAGGACTAGTTTAATCATAGTTACTCTTCTACTTATTTTCAGAGATACTATGAATTTTCTTATGAGAAAAATATTGCTATTATCATCGTTACTTTTTGGTGAACGAGAAAAGTTTAACTGTGCATGGGTGGTTGGCTCCAGAGATCGAGCACTTTGGTGCTCAGGATCAGACTGCATTGTGATGACTGCATTCGGATAATACAAAAGTACATTTTACAGTACAAAGGTAAGATGGACAATCTCCAGTCAATGCTCAACATTTGGGGCTTATTTTACTAAACTGACTACATCCACATGATTGTCCCAAGTTACTGCCGAGAAATCTATGAGGAAACAATGTTAGATAATTAGGCTATGCAAGTACAACATTTATATAAAGAATGTGTATGTCGAAAAACTAATAGATAATCATCATATCTTTTAGACTTCTTCTACTTCTCCCAAGTAGGTAAAAGTACTTTTTCATTCTTTACTCAATTATGCAACAACCAACATGACTTCTTGTCAATTGGGTCAATATAGCGTGATTCGTCATTCATATTGATCGAAATGTTAATGCAAATGTCAGAATTAAGGTACCCTACAAGCATATAAATATATGAAACGTGGAAAAAAGGACAAAAAGAGGAATTCTATGACGAACCTATTGCTCCCTGTTAATTTTCTAGTGCTAGTACTCAGTAGCCTGTGGCCTTTCTCATATCATGCCACTAGCCAATTTCTGCAGACATTATTAATGTTCCTATATGAAGAGTGTTTATTGTAAATGGCAGGAGTTGAATCGGTGGTTATAGATGCAAGCAAGGATCAAGTATCAGTGACAGGGGTAGTGGAAATGAAAGAACTCGCACCTTACCTGAAAGACAAGATCAGGAGGAATGTTGAAGTGGTTCTCACAACAAAAGGAGGTGATGAAGAAAAGGAGGTGACTAGTTTAATCATAGTTACTCTTCTACTTATTTTCAGAGATACTTCGAATTTTCTTATGAGAAAAATATTGCTATTATCATCGTTACTTTTTGGTGAACGAGAAAAGTTTAACTGTGCATGGGTGGTTGGCTCCAGAGATCGAGCACTTTGGTGCTCAGGATCAGACTGCATTGTGATGACTGCATTCGGATAATACAAAAGTACATTTTAAAGTACAAAGGTAAGATGGACAATCTCCAGTCAATGCTCAACATTTGGGCTTATTTTACTAAACTGACTACATCCACATGATTGTCCCAAGTTACTGCCGAGAAATCTATGAGGAAACAATGTTAGATAATTAGGCTATGCAAGTACAACATTTATATAAAGAATGTGTATGTCGAAAAACTAATAGATAATCATCATATCTTTTAGACTTCTTCTACTTCTCCCAAGTAGGTAAAAGTACTTTTTCATTCTTTACTCAATTATGCAACAACCAACATGACTTCTTGTCAATTGGGTCAATATAGCGTGATTCGTCATTCATATTGATCGAAATGTTAATGCAACTGTCAGAATTAAGGTACCCTACAAGCATATAAATATATGAAACGTGGAAAAAAGGACAAAAAGAGGAATTCTATGATGAACCTATTGCTCCCTGTTAATTTTCTAGCGCTAGTACTCAGTAGCCTGTGGCCTTTCTCATATCATGCCACTAGCCAATTTCTGCAGACATTATTAATGTTCCTATATGAAGAGTGTTTATTGTAAATGGCAGGAGTTGAATCGGTGGTTATAGATGCAAGCAAGGATCAAGTATCAGTGACAGGGGTAGTGGAAATGAAAGAACTCGTACCTTACCTGAAAGACAAGATCAGGAGGAATGTTGAAGTGGTTCCCACAACAAAAGGAGGTGATGAAGAGATTAAAGACAAGGTTAATACGGGTGGTCTTGGTGGTGATGGAGATTATGGCAAGAAAGAAGAACAAACTCCGCTCACCAAGAATGTAAACCAAAGAGAAAACCACTGGTCACTACCTCATCCTATCACACATTCGAACGATGGAGAAATCCATAATTGGAATTATGGCACGGAAGCTTACCAAGGTTACATGAATCAGGGAGCTGCATATCAGCGATTCAATCAATCATATGCCCCCGACATTTTCAGTGACGAGAACCCTAATGCCTGCTCCATCATGTGACAGATCAGTTGTGCTCGAGAACATGGATTAAGAGAGATTGTGCTTGAGAATGCTGTAAATAACCAAGTATGCAGTGTATATAGGTCTTTAAGGTCAAAGAAGCGTTTCCAAAGTCATTATGTTGACAAAAGAAAGGTAATACTTCCCTAGAAAGGAGGAAAATGAAAAGAGTAAGGGGAAACTATTCATTTAGAGTGTAGCTGCCAGTTGGGACACTTGAACCCTGCTAACACATTTGGCCAGATCAGAGTGACTAAACTGGTTGTCTGCTGTCATTTGCTCCTATCAAGCGGGACTGAACTCTGCCATATAGGTGGATGGGGATTTGGGATCATACTAGGTTACTGCTAGCCACAGATACAAATGAAAAATGCGGTGGCCTACTGTTGTGTCTATTCGGTTCTCTGGTTTGGTAGTCAATATACAAAGTCGCCATGTTTTATCATACAACCTTAGCTCTCTCACAGAAATAATCATAGAGCTTCCCCTAACTGTTTTCAATTTTGCGTGCATGTCAATGATCTGTATCTAACCCTAATTCATCCTCAAGTGACACCTAGCGTAACCAGTTTCCTGTCCCCAAGCCAATCACTACTAAAATTTCCACTTGCATCTCCCTGGTGGACTTACAATGAATCTTAATTACATGATTCTGCAGATAAAATACATAGAAGAATAAAAATTTGCCACCACAGATCAAGGAAAATCTGATTTGCAGGATATGTTGATCAGGTTCATTATTTTACCCCAGAACAATTATTTGGACCCACAGGTCCCTCAAGCAATTATATATCACCATCACAGCAGCTTTGATAGATGCGTCTTCCCCCTGTTTTAGTTGCAAAAATTCTTTAAATTCATCTCTGATGGGGCATGTGAAAAAGCTCACATTCAAGGAGGCGAGACAAGTCCAAAAGGTGCAAAGTATTCACCTTTTCTTTCCATAAAAACATATTTCCATATTTTCCAGCCAAACGACTCCAAAAGCTATGCGGAATGTCTAAATTTACAGAAGCTCCTACATTTAAGTAACTTCGTGTAGGTTTTTCGTGCGAAAGTTTGAGCCCCTTCAGTTGCAGTTTCGGACTGTTCAGACTCCTGCCACTGAGAGCTCCTGATGTCAAACTAGTCGGTCAGACGTTTTGACGGAACCAAACACTTTTAAGTGTAAATAGCACCACTACTGATATCACGCAGCTTGATAATAAATGTGTTGGTTTTCTACGGAACATGCGTAGTTAAAATTAAATATAAACGCAACGGAAAGATATAATCATATATGTATCTCCAAAGGCGTTGTTCGTGCGTTTTAATCAAAAATCGAAAGATCATAAGGGGTTAAACGGATTACCTCTTATTGCGTGTTCAAGACGATTTCGATTCGAATGTTCTTCAGTTCGAACCCCACAATCATCGGACCTCTAGTTCAGAGACACCACCAATCGCACAACGAACGGAAGAAAGAACTTGCAGGTAATCACCATTATAATTGTGCTAGCAATCTCGTAGCGACAATTCTTCGTACTCTCAATATTTCAGTCACAGCGCCAGAAGACAGAAAACGTAATTTTTAACTTTCACGAACACATGATAATTCTCTTACTTGCACTCTTTCTTCTCTATTCGGCAACTGTTGCTGATCCCACTTTATTTGTGCGATCAGCAATGGTTGCTGATCGCCAGGCACCCTTCACATGATCAGCAACCGTTGCTGATCGTGTGTGCATATAGCACACGACCAGCAAGCGTTGCCGGTCGTGGGTGATGCCCACGGTCAGCAACAGTTGCTGACCGTGTGCATGCACCACCCTCTTTTTGTTTTTTAAATTAAAACACGCACGATCAGCAAGGAGCTGATACTGTTAGGTTTGTTTTTAGAAACCAAAAATGTTAGGTTTGTTTTTGTAACTTGATTAATAGAAATTGTTAAGAACAACCTACTCAAGTATGCTCCATGTTTCGATAAACAAAAAATCATGCTCCCTGTAACTTGGAGCTGAACAGCATTTTGACGACAATGGGCACGGATCAATTATCTAAGTAGCAATGCCAATGTTCACTAACGTCTTTTCAACCATATGACCTTTTAGGATGGAGTTGAAGGACCCAAACAAAGCAAATTCATTGACTTGATAAGTCTACGTAACTAAACGTCAGTATTTTTTTTTTTTTCTGAATGATTGACAGCTACTAGTCTTTGAGAGAAAGCCTCTTAAGATGGCCTCTTGTGCAGGTTCTTGTTTAGTTCGTGACCAAAAAGACAATCTGTTTGTCGAACAGGTTCTTTCTTGATTCATACCCAGAAACTTCCCTCTGTCGTGCTCTTCGCCCATCATAGGACATTGATAAAATTCCAATCGACTCAACACGTCTTGTATGAACATAAGCTGATCTCCGCCGTCTCCTCCAACATTCTTTGGAGGCTAATCTGGTGAATGACAGAATCTTCACATGTCAAACTCTTCTTCTGCTTACATTCATTGTCGGTGATATTATCAACGTCGTCGGGTTTTGTAGTGCACACATGGTCATACGTTGCAAAGGGTTCTATTTTGATGTGGATAAAGGTGCTCGTGTCTGCACTGGTAGCGAACAAGCTGATGAGGTAAAGTAGTTCTGCTTTTGCTCTCATATTCGTTGGGAATTCAATAAAACTAGGCAACTAAGCTAAATTCCAACTGATCTCACACCAAACTCAATGAAAACCACAAGACATAGTAAGAAAGGAAATTCCATCTAATAAGGTCAACGTGTACATATGAAGAGAGATCTCTTCATTAACTCCAACAGAATAATACTCTTGTAATGCATGGATATACTTTTCTTCCTTGTTTTGGCAGGAACCAACTGGCAAACCTGGAAAAGCCACTAGCTCCAGTGCCAAGAAGAACAGCAAGATACTCGGCAGATTATCAAGGGGTAGAGGTGGAGGACTTAGCAAAGTAGAGAAGGTTGCTACCCGAACACAAGGTAAAAGGATTGTTTGCCACAAAATGTTTGCTGTTAATTTGCTGAATCAGCAAGTTTCCTTGATCTCAACGGGGCTCATATTTCTGATAAAAAAAAAAGGCTCACATTCTGATTGCATTAGATTCTCTGATAGCCGTGCACATATTCAGCAACAATATCTTATCTTGCGATTTATATATATCACATTAACATTATCGGCTTCTCTTTTCTAGCAAGTGTAAAAAGGAGAAAATAAAAGGTAAGTTCTCTTCTAAACGAAAGTAACCAGCTATTTAAGAGCTTACTTGGGACTGTTGCAGTTCCTTCTAGCCTCGGGTTGTGACAAATTGTGGGTGCCTATAACTTTGCAGTCTAAAACCAACCGCACACCAAAAGCTCCAAAAGCATGTAGGTGCTTCGTAGAGCGCATCAGTGTGGCTTTTGAATTGCTCCCAGAACTCCAAATGCTTTTGCTTCCTACAGCTGTAATATCTTAAGAGAGCCAAAAGCACCCTAAAAAAGCTAAAGCAATTGCAGAGAAACACTCACGCACACCATCGCAAACATCCACTCTGCCTTGGAGCTATTCTGAGATGTTTTGGTCTCAACTCACAATTTTATTATAGACTCACTTTTTAAGAGTTCAGTTTACAAGCTAAAAGTCTTAACTGCTAGAAGATGCTGATGTATATTAGTGAGAGAGAGAGAGAGAGAGAGAGAGAGAGAGAGATTTGAAAATGAAAAAAAAAAAAAGCAGATGATGGGTTAAAAATGATGTCTTATATTTAATATGGTCGTCATCATGTAGATTAAGTTACGATAAATTTGGCCTCAAATTCTAACCTCGAGTTGTCTCTCCCACTAAAATTCCATACTAATAGAGCTTTCCACAAGAAAATTTATTAACTAATTGATAAATGTATAGTGTGTTAACCCAAGTCCACGTTGCACGGGTATGTCACTAGTATCTTTCACGTGATACAAGCAGTTAACGCAAATCCAACATTGCTCCAACAACACACCTGGTGGATTAACCAATCATGATCCTAAAACTTAGAGAAATTCCCTAGTACTTCACATGTATTCTCACACATTTTTCTCCTTTTTTCTATGAGTACCTAGTCTCAACGTAATGGTTCCTTTATGTCCTAAACATTATGCAGTGTCCAATTTGCAACATAATTCGTCCAAACCCGACTCTCAAATCTTATGTCTTAAGAGCTTATCTTCTACTTGCTCTTGCATTTGATCCATCAGGTACCAAGGACTTGAATATTGACACTCTCTCCGAGAAATCAGCTGTTGTTGAGACTGTGAACAAAGCAAATGCAGAAGAGAGGACCCAGGAACAAAAGCATAAGAAGTATGATCAGCTACTCTCCCGTGCCCAGCCTAAAAGAATCCATGGTAGGAATCACGATGAAATGCCTAAGTTTGTCTGCTCTTTCTTTCTTTTGGTGTACTGAATCGGAGCTCCTGGTTAATATTATATGAAACTTCAAGTCTGCAACCCATAAAGGCCAAAGCAGAGAAGTTGCTTCTCCAAACTGTCCCTCAAAAGCTTGACTTTAACTGTTTTTGGACTGTAAGTGAAAATACAAATAATAAGCCAAAATTTATATTATAAAGTATGACACGTATGTATCTTTATGTTCCTTTTTTTTTATGAAAATCACAATTATAAGAATTGGAAAAATCCATATTACCAACTAAATCAAGGCTACAACTAAAAACTTGCGCTTCAGTTATTTAAAAAAAGCTGTTTGTTTAGCTAAGTGAAAAGTATAATGCCCAACAGACAATACCCATCTTTACATGGCATGGCCCATTTGACAATGCACATGAAAACATGGACTCTCAGAATCTCACACCAGCTTTCCTCCTATTTTTTGGCCCTGTTCATCAGGTTCTAAAGACATTAAGGTTGACAATGTTCCAAGGAAATCAGCAGGAGTTAAACGGGACCGAGTGAAGATAAAGAAGAGGTTCCAGGAGCAGCAAAAGCACATGAACGAGAAATGTGACCAGCTGGTCACTCCTGCCTGGCTAAACAGCAACCATGGTAGGAATTAACAGGAAAGGATTCACCAAAAGTTGCTCAATTGCATAATGAATATCTGTTTAGAAGCCTCAATCTTTCAATGTAAAACCAAAACCGACTAAATTTGTTTGGGCTTCCACCAGGCACGAAGGACATCTATATTGACAGTATTCCAAGGAAACGACCAGTCTTCACAAGAGACAAAGGGAACTTAAAAGAAAGAAATGAGGAGGAAAGGACTAATAAGTATGCGGTATCCTCTCCTCAGGGTGGCGGCAACAAGAAATCATATGCAAAAGAGAGCCCATTCGACCAGAAGAAGAATGAGACAGAGGTAATATTCTTATAAGCAGATGAAATCAAGCATAGCCTTAAGAGGACTTGTTTAATCATTGTTACTCTTCTACTTATTTTCAGAGATTCTATAAACGTTCACATGATTAAATTATTGCTATTATCATTATTACTTTTTGGTGAAAGAGAAATTTAACTGTGCATGGGTGGGTGCCTCCAGAGAGCAAGCAACCTGGTTCTCAGGACCAGACTACATTGTGATGGCTGCATTCAGAAAATACAAAAGTGCATTTCAAGGTATAAAGGTAAGATGGACAATCTTCAATCATTGCTCAACATTTGGGGCTTATTTAACTATTCCAACTAAATGCACGTGATTGTCCCGAGTTACTGCCAAGAAATCTAGGTAGAAACAATATTAAATAATTTGGTCACAATATGTACAAAATTTATATAAAGGATTCCTTTATGTTGAAAAACCAATAGATTGTCATCATATGATTCTTTTAGACTTCTACTTCTCCCAACTAGGTGAAGAACTTTTTTGTTTTTTACTCAATTATTTATCAACACGCATGACTTCTTATCAAGTGGGTCAATATAGTGTGATCCATCATTCATATTGATCAGAATATTAATGCAAATGTCAGAATTGAGGTACTTTACAAGCATATAAATACATAAAATTGTCTACAAACAAAAAAATAAAAGGAATTCTACAATGAACTTAGTGCATGGACTCTACTTATTTTTTAGAGCTAGTACTCAGTAGCCTGTGGCCTTTCCAATCTCATGCCGCTAACCAATTTCTGCAGACATTACTAGCATTCAGTATATGAAGAGTATCTATTGTGAATGGCAGGAGTTGAATCGGTGGCTATAGATGCAAGCAAGGATCAAGTATCAGTGACAGGGGTAGTGGAAATGAAAGAATTCGAGTCTTACCTCAAAGACAATATCAAGAGGAATGTCAAAGTGGTTTCCACAAGAAAAGGAGTTGATAAAGAGATTAAAGACAAGGTTGATGAGGAGGGTCTTGGTGGTGCGTTATATGATGTTAGCTCTAGGTATGGGGTCTTATCAAGCCACTTTAACTTTTTGATTTTCTATCATAACTGTTACTACCCTACTATTCCTTCTTGATTAAAAGGAAAGGGAATTCCTACAACTCCAAAAAGCACAGTAAATATGTCTTGGGGTTTACACATACTTTTATTTGCTGTTATAATAGAAATTGGCATTAGCAGCAAAATATTTTCTCTGTGTGGCGGAACATATTCATACTTAATGATTTTCCACAAAGCGGTGACAAAAGGTCTAACTTGGTCAAATCTTTCCATTTGCTGGAGATTATGGCAAGAAAAAAGAGCAATGGTAATTACGGTAGGGAAGCTTACCAAGGTTACATGAAATCTGGATGCTTCATATGAGCGGTTCAATCCATCATATGCCCCTGACATTTTTTAGTGACAAGAACCCGAATGCAGGCTCTAGATCAGTCGTACATGAGAACATGGATTAAGAGAAATTGTGCTTGAGAATGCTATTGATAACCAAAGATGCAGTGTATATACGTCTCTAAGTCAAAGAAGTGTTTCCTAAGTCATTATGTTGACAAATAGAATTCCGCTAGAAAGGAGGAAATGAAAAGAGTCAGATGAAACTTTTCACTTCAAGTGTCACTACAAGTTAGGACACTTGAGCCCTGCTAACACATTTGACCAGATCAGAGTGACTAAACTGGTTGTCAGCTGTCATTTGCTCCTATCAAGTGGGGCTGAACTCTGCCATATAGGTGGAAGTCAATTTGATATCATAATAGGTTGCTGCTGGCCACAAATACAAATGAAAAATGTGGTGGCCTACTGTTTTATTTATTCAGCTCTCTGGTTTGGCAGTCAATATTCAAAATTGTCATACTTTATCGTATTACCTTAGCTCTCTCACATAAATTATCATAGAATTTCCTCCTAACAGTTTTCAATTTTACATGTATGTGAAAGATCTGTATCTATCCCAAATTCATCCTCATGTGACACCTCACATAGCCAGTTTCCTGTCCCCAAGCCAAACGCTTCTAAAGTTCCCACTTCCATCTCACTGTCAGACTGAAAATGCATCTTAAGTACATGATTCTGCAGATAAAATACATAGAAGAACAAAAATTTGCCACCACCTGACAAGGAAAATCTGGTTTGCCGGATCTGTTGATCATGTACATTATTTTACCTCAGAACAGTTATTTGGACCCACAGGTTCCTTCAAGCAATTAGATATTGCCATCACAGCAGCTTCAATAGATGCGTCTTCTCCCTGTTTTAGTCGCAAAAGTTCTTTAAATTCATCTCTAATGGGGCATGTGGAAAAAGCTCACATATAAGGAGGTGAGACAAGTCCAAAAGGTGCAAAATATTCACCTTCTCTTTCCAATAAAAGATATTTCCATATTTTCCGGCCAAACGACTCCAAAAGCTACGCGGAATGTCTAAATCAACGGAAGCTCCAACATTGAAATTTATGATGTTACCTGTTCCAAAAACTCAATCAACTTGATACTCAATTATCACAACTATTCCAAAGAAACAATACCATTCCACTAGATTACCAAAAGTTGGGTCAGCTACAAAGACAATCGTTCGATCATCCACGCTCCAGAAATCTTTGATTGCCAACCCTGTAATAAGTAGTAAAGTTCAACCTCAAATGATTTCAAAAATATCTAACAAGATGATTTGACGAAGAAACCGAAACACAAGAATGCCCGGAAGTCACAGAACAGGAAAAAAAACTATTTGATCTCTCAGAAGTGTAGGGAACCTGGTGTATCGGGGTAATTCTGGGCTAGAACTCTCAGCTTAAATCCAGTATCCTTTTCAATATCAGCAATCTCTTGTGCCAATCTTTTCTCCTGCGCACAACCGAATGACCCGTGCCTTAAGCAACATTTTGTAGGTTTTCTGTGCGAATCTTGAGTCCCTCAAATTGCAGTTTCAGACTTTTCAGACTCTAAAGTACTGAGATCTCATTTTGTCAAATTAGTCAATGAAACCTTTTGATGGAACCAAACACCAAAATTGTTTTCAGTTAGTCCATCTTTTCCAAAATATGAGCGTAAATAGCACCACCACCGATATCACACAGCATGAAGACATGACACTACCAATCAAAATCAAATTAACTCCCTCTGATGAGAGGATTCATCTATACCATATCAATCCAAAAATAATACAAAACACACCTACTGATAACAGACTGATGCGTTAACATACACAAACACGCACGCACGCACGCGCACACACCTGACCATCAGAGAGGAATCCAGCGACATCGATGACGGGCGTGTACTCTTTGGGAAGCAATTCCGGCTTGTTGACCCCAACCTTCGCCTCCGCAAACCCAACCGCCCCTGCATACGTGCGTCCACTCACATTCTCAGAATCTTCCTGACTATCCAGAGTAAACCCAAAAAAACAAAAAACACCAGTTTCTGCTGCGTCGACCAAATAAGGGAACTTTCATCAAACAGATAGAGTAGTAGGCAAAAAAGAAAAAGAAAACAGAGCCACTAGCACGCAATGCAGTCGAATAGAAAGACCGGCCCAACTTTCGAGCGCGCGTTCCGCGCCTACTGACCCGTGAGAGATAGCCCGAGAGCGAGAGTGCCCGAGAGCAGGAAATTCAGAGACTTCGAGCGGAGAACAGAGATCGCAGCGCTTAAGCTGGACGGAATGCGCGCAGATGATGTTGGTATTGAGACGTGAGATCGCGACGACGGCGACGACGACGACGAAGTAATGGTTGGTGTGTGCAGAGATGGGAGGGATGGGGAGTGAAGGCGGAGAAACGCCATGGGACTACGCTTTCGGGCGAAGATTTTCTGGATAGGACAGAGAGAGGTCTCTCCTCTGTACAGGTCTCGCCTTCTGTCTGGGGTTTGTCTTCTTTTGCTACGTCGCGCCCGGAAGTTTTCGTTTTTACAGTTAGCCACTTATTAGTCATGGCAAGGGACAATTACACGATCGGTCCTTGAATTTTGGCTCAATATATAATATGATTCTTAAATTTTCAATTTGTTCAATTTAGTCCATGAACTTTAACTTAATGTTCAATGTGGTCCCTGAACTTTTATTTTGTTCAATGTAATCCATAGACATTTGGTATATATTTAATATAATCCCTGAACTTGAATTAATGAAAAGACTATATTGTACATTTTAATTTTTCATATAGTTTAGGGACTAAATTAAATATATACCAAAAGTTAGGGAAGATGTTGAACAGATTAAAAGTTTAGGGACCACATAGCACAATGGGTTAAAGTTTAAGGATTACATTGAACAAACTAAAATTTCGAGAATTACATTGCACATTAGGTTAAAGTCTAAGAATTACATTGAACAAACTAAAAGTTCAGGGATCACATTGCACATTGGGTTAAAGTTCAGGGACTACATTGAACAAATTAAAAGTTCAGGATCACATAGCATATTCAGCCAAAGTTCAGGGATTGTTTGTGCCACTTTCCTTTGTAGCAAACAGAAAAAAGGGCAAAATTACCATTTCAGCCTTAAATCTATGTTAATTTAGTCCTAAATTTTTATGCGAAATTCTAATATATGACTAAACTGATAAAATTAAAAAGTTAATAACTGAATTGATACAATAAAATTAGGGCTGATTTGGTAATTATCCCTGAAATAAAGCTATAAACAAACCCTAATCACCATTATGCAACGATAGAGCGGTGTCGTAACTATTATTATGCTATTTCATTTAGGTAGCATAATACCAAATTATGTTATTTGATGCCACGAATAATATGCGTTATGAGAAAGGAATATTGTCAAGACCCAATATATCTAATGGCGAATATTATTTCAATAGCCAATTGTGAGTGTAATTCTCCATTACTAGATTTTGATGACATTATCGAAATCTTTGTGAACATTAATTACTTTAATAATATTCGTATTTTATAGCGATCAAAGTCGATTTGTGAGCCTATTAATGAAGTAAATTCAATGGTTCAATGACTAACACCACAAAGAAGTGGTGGTAAAATAGAGAGCCTTGACCAATTTGAAAAATTGTTCGAGCAAGAAAGGGAAGGATTTATGGATCTGGGCCTTCGGGTCGAAGATCCTCATGCCTAAAATGGCTTAGATCGGCTAGGAATTGTTAAAATATAATATATATAATATATATATTACAAATTATAAAAACTAAGTTATTTATTCTAGAAACACTCTAACAAAGTCATATACAATTAAATAAACGATTTAAAATTAAAAAAAAATGAGAAAAGATGTGGTGATAAGAGTCGAATTATGTAAAGTGACCAAAACATATAAATACGATTTTCACTTAAAATAGCCTCGAACGCCTTCTGATCGAAAGCTACAAGCTCTGAATGAGTTTTCTGGGATTGTACTAATGATCTCCGTAACTCCGCCCAAATCAAAACTTATGCCCTGTTGAAATTAAAGGTGCACAAAATCCGTTTATTCTAGTGCAATCTGTAGATTTTAAAGTAGCGATATGTCAGTAACATCCGAAAATTAATTAATAAATAAAAACTAATACGTTCTGTTATTATGGACTGGTTTAGTTCGGTCCTGATCTTTTCTGCTTTACCGAGCCGGGCCTAAACACTGGGCCCCTTGGCAGGCATTATTACATGAAGGGGGTCGTGCAATGTTGTAATACAGTCTTTCCACTGTAATAGGAATTACGATGTAAGCAATTGTAATAAAACTGCAATAACAACATATTAAAAACCTTAGTCCGATCAGAAACTGTAATACACAATAAATCTGTTTTGGACATGTGATGTAATAATCGCTACTACTTAAAAATAAAAATAAAAACATGATTTAAAGGATTAGGTTCCTCCACATCGGGATAATTGTGTTACGGTCCGGGGGTTCTCAAGATTCTACTAGCCGTAGAGGTGCCGTAAAGGATTAGGTTATTTTGATTGCTATGGAATGTTTTAGGGTGTGAAAAATTGTATGCTTATATTATAAAGTATCTTATATTTAAGGAGAGTAGCTAGGAAAAATCTCATGTATATATAAAGACGCCCTCCCTCTCATTTTTGTCATTTGAACGATCAGGACGAATCAAGCTAAACCCTTTTCTTAAATGAAAATTTCAGATTTTTAATAGTGTTTGGGACTTTTGAGAAAGGTGAATCAGTGATATAAGTCCAAGCTTGTAGAACTGAAGTAAAGGGGTCGACCGTGAGAGCTTGTAGTACCATAAAAATGCTCTCATACTCTATGAAAATCTAGCAAAAAACCTAAACCCTAACACACTCTCTATTCGCCTCCTTAGCACGTCTCATACCGCTTCGTCACTCTCTCCTTGCCTCAGTCCACCACTCGCCATCCCACATCCCCTCCTCGTCTAGCCATCCTCCCAGGAGGGGCTGGCGACAGTCATCGGACTTAGGGGTAATCGATTTCAGGGTAGGTAGATTCCAGACTTGGAACCTGAAACCAATCCTGTTATAACTGATTCCCAGTTTTTGGAACTTGAAACCTATCATGTTTGTCCTGGAACCTGTTTTACAACCTACCCTATTTTTCTGATTCAGTTTCAGGGTTTACCCGAGAATCTGTTTTTGTTTTGTTCATTTTTTTTAACAAAATAATATGAGTAGCAATGAAACGATTCAAAGTAAAATATGAATAATAAAAATCACTATCTGCCAAAAGCAACAATCCCTAATATGGACAATAAAAATTACTATCCACCAAAAGCAACAATCTAAAATATAGTAATAGCATAATCTACAATTTTTTTTTTAGCACAAGCTAAAAACGGGTTTCAAAATCGGTTCGAGTGGATCTTCACTTGGAACCGAAAACCAGAACAGTTCCAACCGGTTTCCAAAAAATAGAACCTGTTCCCAGCCCAATTCAAACAAGAACCAGTTCCCGAACATATTTTTCGAGTGGTCCGGTCCGGTTCTTGGGTAAACCCGGTCCGATTGCACACCCCTAATCCGGCGGTGACAGCAACCATGGGCAACAATGGGCCACGTACATCAATATTAGCCGATTTGCTCCGATGAAATTGTACCAAGTATCCCTAAATCACATCAGACTCCGAAGCACGCTCGTTTCGCGTGCTCTTTCATGCACCAAATAAAGAGTATTTGGGGAGTTAGATAAATCACGGGTCAGACATTGTTCTTTTGATAAAGAGGAAGAAAAAACTCTAATTGCAACTATGCGCGTGCATAAAGTAGGGCAATTATCGAAGGGAAGAGAATGAAAAGATACGTGAGATTACAGACAGACTCCATCATCCAGGAGGCTCAAGTGATGTCACCCTATTTGGCAAGAAAAAGCTGAAACTACACCCTAGTGCGCAATTAGATGCAGATGCGCATTTTTAGTGAATCATGGGAAAATGAAATGGACCAAAACTAGCACTCATCTCAGCGTTTGTCAAGGAATACTACAGATCATATCATTCAACCATTCCTTCACAGTGCTAACGATGCAAGCACTCTAAGATGGGATGCAATTCGGACATTGCAAGAGTTGCTTGAAGCTTCCAATTCAAGCACATTCCATCCAAGTCACAGCAGCATATGAAGCCAACCGTTTTGTTTTTGCTGATACAATCATACCAGGAATGGACAAGCTAAAAGGAAGAGAACCATGAGAAATAAAATCATACTCTTGTACAAACACAAGTTATTTGAGAAAGGTCAGCACCCCAAGAAAACCACATACAAAGATAAATTCTACGGGAAGTAAACAGGCCAGTTGAAATAGTATGAGTCCCGGTGGTCCTTGTCCATGTACTCATTCCACTGCAACAACATAAACATTCATCACCAGTTACAAAATCCAAAAGGCGCTTTAATCGAGAGAAAAAGAAAAACCATCAGCACCCAGAATTGAAGAGGGGCTCATAGACAAAAGGAAAAATTAGATTTATCCGCTGCTTGAAATCAAAAAGGTGTACCTTGAATTTATATGGCTGATTCTTAGCCTTGGCTTTCTTCCAGTGATAGTGCTCGAACATCATGGCTTTGTCATGCCAACTGCACAATAAAATCAGAAAAACATGTGGTGTGAATTACCAGTTACTAATGAAGATTAAATAAGAATAAAAGGGGTATCCACCGATGAGAGACAAGCATTTCCCAAAGGTGACTTTCAATAACCTAAATAAGATGGAATAACCTTGCGCTCTACAAAAAGGCACTAAAATGCGCAAACTCATACACCATGGTCTTCTGCAGTAAGATAAATCATGCTCAGTCATTTCAGGATCAAGTATGACATGAATCAGCGCATGTAGACATCTCAGCACCAGATTGGAATCAGCTTTAAATAAGAAGGTTTAACACTTTGACTATGCCAACCAGACCTTATTGTGTACAAAGAAGGTGTTAAAAGGTTAAAACTGGATTCTCTCCATCATTATTCATGAACGTATACAGAAAATCAACAACTAGCTATTATGGCTTAATGGTACTATAATATAGTGTATGACTCAACCAGATCATTAAAAGAAATGGCTATGAGCCTATGAGGTGCCTTAAAAGAAGACAAGTGACTTGGGAAGGGTCAATCAGAAGTCTGCACATCAACCAGGACGCAACCTTAATGACTGTTTAATGTTATCCCCCATTTTGGCTCATTGCTGGTATTCAACTCCAGCATGCCAAGCTAGGACACAGACCCCAACCTCTGTTTAGAATGCTTGATGGTGCTCAGTTTAACTTAATAAAACTTGTGACTCGTTGTAAAGGTTTGCTAAAGTATATAAGTATTCTTGAATAATAATTAGATGGCCTATGAAACTATAGATGACACCTACTGTCCATTGGATTTTTCAATGCACACTGCTTCAGGAACCTTACGCTGCACAATCAGCACTTAAAATGTATGTCCAATCAAGTGAAGCTGCAACAATGAACCATCTATGATGGTCATAATTATAAAAACTTGTGATAAATCATGTTTTCTATCAATGCATACAAGCTCAAATTCCTTAAGCAGAAATGGTACTTTAAGAAAAAAAAGTTATTGGAGCGCGGAGAAAAAATAACCAAAACGAGAATGTGGCAAATAAAGATCAGAAGTGGCTAGATGTCATGAGTCATGACCCATGACCCAATAGCATCTACATCTAACAAATGCTGAAACTATGATCTCCCACATGTCAAGCAAGTCGGTTCTTTCCTACACAAATGCACATTGCCTTCAACTGTAATTCGATCCAATCATACAAGCATCAAAGGAAGCAGACTCAGAAAGTGCTAGAGTTGAAAGACACGTCAAAGATTGCGGTAACTACTAATTTGATGCAATTCTACATTCGGCTCTGCCACTCCACTACTAATGACGCTAACGGAAGAAATATCAAACCAACATTTGTTATCTCATCAATTGCAACAAGCCTGTTCTCTCTTCACCACAATCTTCACACCCGGATGACAAATTCAAACGGAGATACACAACACCGACATAAACCACCTATATAGTCCCCTCTCCGTGAAACACTTACATTAAGTTCCCACTCTTTAACTCTCATCCCAAGTATTTTTTATTGTTGAGAAACACATCCAAGTGACTATTTGCTCTATCAAATTCCAGCCAGTATTTATGCAGTTAAGGAACGGCTCAACATCCCGACCAACACACAAATTGCCGACGCCATCTCGACGGTTCCGCACATACCCAGTTCTCCTTAAACCAAATATCTTCATCCCCGGGGGCTGAATTCCGACACACACACACACACACAACAACCCTCATGGCAGGGTCACTTGGAGACGCAGTCATTTCTAGAGTCCCTCACGACGAAAACACACACCAGAAGCGCCCATTCAACAGCCGAAATCCCAAGCTAGAGTGGTTCTCCAGCTCGTTGCGGGCTCAATTCAAGAAGGACGGGGACACCGAAGAAAAGGGTCGCAGGGCAAGCACTTTCAGACACCATCCCGGCAACCAACGAGAGAAATTCTACGGAGAAGCGAAGGAGGAGGAGGAGGAGGAGGAGGAGGGTACTTGAACTGATTGGAGAGCTGCCAGAGGTAAGGGTTGTTCCAGGTGAGGGCGGAGAAGGCGGCGGACCCGATCCATATGTTCACGAACCTGTCCGGGTCCGCGTGCGGCACTCCCGGGTCGCCCCGGTACGCGTTCCCGAAGTACTTCTCCATCTTCTCTCTCTCTCTCTCTCTCTCTCTCTCTCGCTGTGTGACTGAGCCGCCGAGGAAGAAGGAGAAGGTGGACAGGCACCGTCTTATCTTCTTCTTCTTCCCGAAGACTCCTCGGCGGAAAAAGCATAAAAGAAAAAAGAAAAACAACTGAAAACAATCAACCCTCGCTTTTGTTCTTTCGATGGAGTACTCTAACTTTCACATTTTTGCAATCAAGCCCTTCGATCAATTTTTTTTTCTAAGGGGCTTCGATGGGTCTCTGATCGTATAGCCCGTTGTAGCCATGTATGTTTTATTGTAATTCCTACATAATGTCACGATACTGCAAAAAAATTATTAGAGAATTTACGACCGATGGATGAGATTTATTTTGATTTGATCCAACGTCGCCGGTACCTCAAAATATGGATAACGAGGGGATTATATAAGCCTAGTTAGTCGTGATATCAAGTTGCTAACATGGCAACCCTAAAATAGAGGTTAGCCTTCCTTATTCTTCTAAGCTCCTATGGAAAGTTTAGTAGATGGAAAAGAATCAAGCTCCAAATCTTTAACATTGACTATGAGTTAATTGTTGTGCAAAGTTGGATTATAAAAAGGGTTAGTATCACGAAATACTTCAAATTAGTACACATATAATAAATTTATCCAAAAATAATATTTTGATAATAAAAAATCCCAAACTGGTACACATGTGACAAATTTATCAAAATTAATTTTTTTACTACAAAAAACCCTAAACAGATACACTTGCAACAAATTTACCCTCTATTAAATTGGATTAATACCACAAAAAATCACAAATTGGTAAACATGTGACAAATGAAGGGATAAAAGCCCCAAATTGGTATAACCGTCAATTGTCACGTGTCATCCAACTCAGCAATTTGACAGTAAAATTTAACAAAAACTAATGAAGGATAAATTTATCACAAATGTACTAGTTTGAGATTTTTAGTGATATTAGTCCTTATAAAAAGGGAAATAGAGGAAAATGGGTAAGGGATAGCTTCCCATATATGCCTGTACTATTTCTATTCTATCCATTTCATTCAATTCCATTTTCAAATTAGATGGTCAATGTTACCAAAGACTATTACATGTTATTTATAGGGGCACAAAAAAAAAAGGAAACTTATGCTTTAGTAATATCTTTATTATGATAGTCTATTGTTACGTTGTTTAGGAGACGAGACCTTTTGGCTCGTACGCCAAGCCTGAAATTTACTAAAATAAAGCTATGCTTTCATCATGCCGTGGCATTCTAAATTTGCCTATTTAGTTGGTAATTCAACTTCGAATGTCATCAAGCCAAATGCCTCACTATTAGGTTTTTCAATATTAAAAAAATCTTCCAATTCAGCTTCAATTTAAGAAACTAAGTATTAAAAGTTGACCCGCCTGCCTAGCCAAGTTGTTTGATTGAGTCGAGGTTGGCAATGGCTTTCGTCTAGTTTCATTGCTTAGGTCTCTTCGTGGGGTGCAACTCTTGAGCTTCTTCTTCGCTACTACCAGCATCGAATGATTTTCTTTGACTCTTTATTGATCGATAGTGCATTGTTCCAAATTCTCAAATCAGAGGAATAGATAATTGTGTAAAGTACAAGAAATTCCTTTTAGCCTCATAACTGAGCTAGAGTTTAGAGTAATTTTATCGGTTTTTCTCCTCTTGACATTCTATATTTGACACGTGGAATTGATGCGGCGCTATAATAACAAGAAGAAACAAGTAACAAGAAAAATATGCGTACACACGCCTACACACAAACATGGGAGGGGTTGACACAATGGCCAACGACCAGTTACTGCCTTGTGTAAACGTGTGTCACGACATTTGCCGAGGATGGTTTGATGCATCAATGAGGGTCCCAATGGCGCTGTTTCGCTTGTAGGGAGTGAAAAAGATCGCATGCTTTTGGGCCCACGAGAACTCTCGTGGAGGGCCACAAACAAGGGCGTCAAAAATACCCAAACTGACCCAAAAATTTCGGTTCTTTTCAGTTTGGCTCGGGTATCGTAGTATTTCAGTTCGGGTCAGGTCGGGTACCTGAACTGAACAGAAACACGTTTCGGTTGATTGCTTCACAGAATGGACTACTCAAACCCAAAAAGCAATATTACGGCAATCTTCTCGCATTTCCCGGAGTTCATCACTTCCCAGAGTTACTCCCTCTTTAAAACGGGCAGACCACAAAACCCCATTCTAACCAAGCCTTCACTACGCCAATCTCTCTCCCTTTCTCCGACGACGACAACATGCCGACATTTGAGTATCGCCTCCAGTGGAGCTCGACCGAGATCTATGGCTCGACTCGGCCTCGAAACTGAGTCGCAATTATGTTGACAGATCAAATCAACCCTGATCCGAGGTCGAAATGGGAGAAAAAGAAAGATGGAGGCGCGAGATGGATCTAAGCGGCTCGGTTGTTGCAATTAAGCTCGAAGGTGGGCCGTGGGGTCGCCGGTAAGGGACAATTACTACGGCTCAACTAAAGCATGGAAGATAACAAAAGATCAGACTGTGAAGGCTTATGGTCGTTTGTGAAGAAGCAGAGGAAGAGGAAGGATGTTATTGTAAAAGATCCATTTTTTCCTCATTTATTCTAGAGAGTGGGCATGAAGATAGAAGGGGAGTAGGTGAAAAAAAAAAAACTCGAAACCCGATCTCAACTAACCCGATGACTTAGGCTATATGCGGTTCGAGAATTAGGTCGGGTCGGGTCACGCACACTTCCATTTCGATTCAATTCGGGTATCATGGAAACCCAAACTAAACTGAATCATTAACGCTCCTACTAGGGGTGAGCATGGTTCCAAGGTAGAACCTGAAACCTGATAACCTGTAGGTTTTAAGTTTCAAGGTATGCATGGTAGATTTTAGGTTCCAAAAATTGGGGAATTTGTTTCAACGAGTAGGTTATAGATTCTAGGTAGGTAGAACATGGAACCTTAAACCTTAAACAAGTTTTTTGTGTTATTTCTTGGTTTATATCTTCGCGTGATCATGCGGTGTTCCATTGCATTAGATGATGAGTGTATAATATGGAACCACTAGTATGAGCTTTCATTTATGACTTGTTAATATTTCATATATTCGTATGTCTAGATATAAGTTATGATCAGTGAATTATAACAGTAAGTGGTAGTCATTAAAAGTGGTGATTCATTATAATTATTCAATTAATAATACCAGTAAAATTAGGTAGACCCTGGAACCGATCATGGAACCTACGATAGGGTAGGTTCCAGATTTCAAGGTATATAGGATAGATTTCGAGTTTCAAAAAATGAGGAATCTGTTCTCATATATAGATTTCAGATTCCAGGAGGAACCTATATGGAACTCGAAACCGCTCACCCTTAATTCCTACTTAAAAGTGTGTCACTTTCATTAGTCTACATGTCATCTAAGCAAGAAAAATTGCTGGATTCGTCAAGTCAAACCGGGTTGATCCGACCCACCTCATCTATTTTCCAAATTGGGTGGGTCCAATTTTTCAAAGTTGAGACAAATTTCTAGCCATACTTATCCTTTTTTGGAAGGTTTCCAAAAGGGATGTCGTGTCTGGCTTTATTTTGCAGAACCTTGTTGAATAGTGTCTAGATTTACAATCTATCACAATTATACTATATGTAAAATCATCTTTCTAATAACCAAATATCGCATTACTCTCGATGAAAACTCGATATCCATGAACAATGCCTTCTAGATGAAAAATTACCAATTTAGTCGTAAACCTATCGTATGGATACCAATGCAGTTCTACACTTTCCCATTTTGTCAATGTAGTTCTAAATCTTTGTACGAAATTCAAATGTAGTCCTTCTGACAATTATTGCTGGAAATTACTAACGCAGCAATCCACAAATTGTCCACATTAGTGTGTCACGTAAGACTGCCAACAAGCAGCAATTTTCGACAGTTTTTGGCCATATGATTACATTAGAATTTCATACAAAGATTTAGGACTATATTAAAAAAAATTGAAAAATTTAAGACTGAATTGGCATTTGTATAATGGGTTTAAGACTGATTTGGTAATTACATGCTAATAGCTCTCTCGCTTTCATGCAACATATACCCCATTTTGAGATATTCTTATCCATCTTCTCTTGCTAAAAAATCACCCAAAACCATATCTAATTTTTGGGAAAGAACAGGTGACAACATTTATGTAATATTGCACTCCGCAATTTGTATTATTTGAACTATTATATAATAAAAAGAAAACATCCTACTTTTAAGGGATGTCGATCTTATTTTTCTTTTCCAAATATCATCAATTAATTATTTTACAAATGTTAAATCATAGACAAATGCGTAAATTTATAATTTTATTAATTATTACACATGTTTCACCGCTAAAGCTAATTATGCTATTAATGTCTAAACTAGCCTAATTAGGACCGAATTAAGCTAAGCTAGGCATCGAACCGCCATGGACATCGGGATCTCCGATTGCCGGTTGCAGGCTCTTGGCCACCTTCTTCCTTGGGTGTCGCCTTTAGCCATCACTCGTGGTGTCGACTCTTGATTAATCCATTTATTCAATCAATGGTATGACATGCATTCAATCAAATCAAATGATTAGCAAAGTTCACTAAATCAACATTCAATTGCCTCGAGATTGGCTTTGGAATTTGAATCAACCATGCATATCTATTTATCCCAGCCACCTCCTAATCAACTAGGGATTTATTGATTGTAATTTGCGATATTTAACCCCCACTTGTGTTCACATAGCGGTAGGCTAAACCATTAATCACTAATTAATTCTAATCATCCTCACTAATATACCCGTCGATCAACATGCGTCGCGAGTCTAATCATACATCTAAAAATCACATGCAAAGCTTAATTAAGCATGCGATTAGGTCAATTGGACTTTGGAAGCAATCAATCAACTAGTGAGCCATATGAATCAATTGTTCAATTGGGGATAGATTCTGATCATTTATGTTTAATGTGATTAACCAAGCAAACGATATTGAAATTGAATGAACTCAGTGAAAACTGAAAGCTTAGGGAATATAGTTTAATGTTCATTAAGACTATTTTCCCCAATTCAGCCGAAAGACCCGAAATTTCAATTTTAACTCGACTGCCCAGAAATTGACCTAGGCCAAATTTTAAAATAGCGGGAAAAATATCAAATGAATTCAAAACCACGTGAAATTTTACAAGCAATTAGTCCTATGTGTCCTCTACAATTTTCATGTTTTAAAATTTTGCAAAAAAAGCCCTCCATCTTAGTCAATTTCACCAATTTTCCCTAAGGACTCAACTGCGAACAATTTTGTAGGCCGATTTAACCTTGTCCGATTTTTTACACGCAAGGACTGCTAAGAGTGCGAATGGTAACCATTCTGCTCCAGAAATCAAATTCTTGCCAGAAATTGATTTATGGAATTATTGCCAGAAATTGATTTCTGGAGGAGAAATCTGTTTGGTAAAACATGACTAATTCTGCTCCAGAAATTGATTTCTGAAAGAGAAATCTGTTTGGTAAAACATAAGGAAATTTTTGCTTATGGATTAGAAATACACTTGATAACGGCGTGTCCATTCTATTTCCGTAACAAAGATAGTCCGAACTCAATTTTTGAAAAAAAAATTCAAAAAATCAAAAAATAAAAAACTTCAAAACTTCACAGAATGGCTAGAATACTTGTGGCCACACACTTTGAGTGAAATTTTAATTTTTTTATTTACCCAAAAAAAATAAAAAAATAAAAAATTTCAAAACTTATCAGAATGGCTAGAATACCTGTGGCCACACACTTTGAGTGAAATTTAAATTTTTTTAGGTGCCCAAAAAAAATTAAAAAAATCAAAAATTTCAAAACTGATCATAATGGCTTAGAATAGTTGTGGCCACCCACTTTGAGTGAAATTTAAATTTTTTTGGGTGCAAAAAAAAATAAAAATTTCAAAAATTTCAAAACTTCACAAAATGGCTTAGAATAGCTGTGGCCACCCAATTTAAGTGAAATTTAATTTGTAATAGGTGCCCAAAAAAATCAAAAAATCAAAAATTTCAAAACTTCACAAAATGGCTTAAAATACCTGTGGCCGCCCACTTTGAGTGAAATTTTAGTTTTTAGGCGCCCAAAAAAATAAAAAATTCAAAAATTTCAAACTTCACAAAAATGGCTTAGAATACCTATGGCCACCCACTTTGAGTAAAAATTTAAATTTTTGAAGGTGCCCACAGGTATTCTAAGCCATTCTGTGAAGTTTTGAAATTTTTGATTTTTTGTAGGCACCTAAAAAAATTTAAATTTCACTCAAACTGGGTGGCCACATGTATTCTAAGCCATTCTGTGAAATTTTGAAATTTTTGATTTTTTTGATATTTTGAAAAAAATTTTTGACACCTAAAAAAATTGAAATTTCACTCAAACTGGGTGGCCACAGGTATTCTAAGCCAAAAATGCATTCGATAACAGCGCGCCAATTCTATTTCTGCAACAAAGATAGTCCGAGCTCAATTGCAAAATATTATTTATCTTAACCTACAATGCATGATATTCGAGACAAAATATAGTACATTTTTTTAAATCCTCAAATAGAAAGAACAGAAATTCCAAAATAACATGTCATTACAAGAAGACCTGGTACCAAATCCTCAATTACACATAATACGAATCCTACAATACAACATTATATTACAAAAGGCAAAAAAAGCAAATAATCCTCGAATAATAATAATGGAAGTACAATACAATAGTGGAAAACCGAATTTCATGGAATCTCCGGCATATGATTATCCCTAGCCATTTTATTGGCAATACGTTTCCTGATAATGTTCATCTCGTTTCCCTCTTCGATCGTCACTATATCATCTGTACCCTGTTCAGTAGCTTCACACACATAATCTGGATCCCCATATATGGACAAATGCTTATCCATCCTGTCTTGCTCAATGATGTAGTTATGAATCGCACAGCATGCAATTACAATCTGTGTTTGTTTTTCAAATTTAAATGGAGGCATATGTCTCAAAACAAAACAAAAAACGATTCTTCAAAGCCGCAAAGGATCTCTCAATGATATTCCTTAATGACGAATGCCTGTGGTTGAACAATTCCTTTGCTGTTGTTGGTCCCCCACTTCGTCGAAATTCTGGTATATGATACCGTTCGCCTTTAAATGGTGTTAAAAATCCTAGACTTGAAGCATAACCAGAATCGACGGCGTAGTATTTGCCTGCAACAAAGTATTCATGGATTGATCATGACATGCAATCCTAGCAAACTCATAAACACAAATACTCGTTATATATCAAAGTAGCACCTGCGGGTGGTCGAGGAAACTATAGGTGATGTGTGTCAAGTGCAGCCGATAACACCCGGCAATCGTTCGCTGATCCTTCCCAACCAGCATACACAAAAGTAAATCGCATATCAAAGGAACACACACACAGCACGTTCTGAGTAGTTGTGCCTTTTCTACCTCTAAATCGTGTTTGCATACATTCAGGTACGGTAGCATGAATATGGGTGCCATCCATAGCGCCTATGCACCCCTGTCATTTAATTAAATACATACATTAGACAACCTTATGAGCAAAACTAACCAAATGGTGCAAGGAAATGTACAAAAAACGTACATTGAAGTAACGATTAAACTTTGGCTCAATCCGAATTTCTTCTGGGACAACATCAAACGAAGGAGGTACGATAATCTCCTTCGCCAATTCCAAAACAGCTTTCAACACCACACCAAAGTACTTGCTGACAGTCTCTCCTGAACGTTGGAATCTCTCACATATAGCTCTGTTGGAGTTCTTGTGACAAATCATTAATAAAAAAATGGCAACCTGTTCATCTACCCTAACATATCGACTGTCTGCCAACCAACCTCTTGACTTGAGCAAACCACAAAGGTTAAGAAAAACATGTCTCTCTATTCTAAATGCTTCGTATACTCTATCCGAATGTCCATGAAGAAGCTCATTAACCCATTCGGGTCCTGTCAATACGCTATCCCTAATACGTTCTGTCCTGTGCATGGACCTATGCAACCAAGCAGTAGACAACCATACCAACAATATATTCAACTCATCCTCATCAAAGTCTTGTTCACCTGATAGAATTGTTTCACTTGATGCTACTTGATCATTAGACCAGCTACTTTGATCCCCTTCCATATTACCTAGGCCGTCATGCGAAAGAAGAAGACAAACTCAACATGTCAGTTGGGAAGCCAATACATTTGAACTGATATGTGGGGAATTTAATACCACTGGACAGATAATTATGGAATTCAATCACATTAGAGCAAAGTCTCAACATCATCACAAATGCATAGGAATAAAGACAAGTCAATGTCTGAAATACATAAGTGAAAAGCCGAAATGAACTCAAACATAAAACGGCATACTATAACCCAACAACTACTCAACAGCCCAACTACTCATCCATAGACTCAATAAAGGCAACTCTCATTTCGGGAAGACATGTCAGGAAGCCCTCTCTCCAAGAGGCATTACTGACAGCACGGTTCATAGCTTTGATGTAAAGAACCTTGTCCAAGTCATGTATGGCATTTAGGACAGCAGCCACAGCTGCTACAGAGTAAGGGTCCACAGGTGTTGAGGACTGTGAGGTAACGGAGGCACTTGATGTTTGAACCGTCTTAGCTTTGATCATCTCTTGAATGGCTTTGCAGGTTGCGTCAAATGAATGTGAACTGCTCTTTTTCCCTTATCTTGGCATTTGGAGTCCTATCCAACTTGTGGCTTTTTGGAGGTGGGCTCGCCGGCACGTTAAATTGTTCCACATTAGCTTGAGTTTCGAAAAACTGTTCTGATTCGCTTAGGTCGACATGAACATCATTGTCACCACCACCACCACCACTATCACCTGTACCCTCCGACGGCGCCACACTTTGCGCATTTCCTATTGCAAACTCCCCAGTAGCGTATGTATCCCCAAACACAACACAAAGCTGTGAATACAAAGGAAATGCGTCCTTCCTGAACTTGGCCCATTCAGTATTAACCTGCGCCATTTTCAAAATAATATCAGGCAGTACTCAACCTTTTATAAATCTTACATTTGAGGTTTCAGCAATAAGAGGACCTAAGTAAGTAATATCACCTTGATGTGATTTGCCCAAACAGTTTCATCGTCCACGACGACCCTCTTGCTCTCATCGTCCCATCCAAATCCCGTCGTTGAAAGCAGCTTCTTGAAACTACCATATTGTCTCTTCAGTTTCTGTGCCTTATTCTTGAACTGTGGTAGACTAAAACGAAGTCCTGTTTGTTTATTAAATTCTCCCTCAATGTTAATACACCCTACTCTGTTGTAGGTACATGATGTGCGATTTCCCTTTTTTACCTCATTCACCATCAGACTTACAAACAATTCGGTCAACGACTCAGTCCACTTTGCCATGTACATGTCTTTGGAGGATTCCATTTATGTAAAATCGATGAAATTTCAGGGGCAAATGCTGGTAATGACGATTCAACAAACAAACAATAATAAAACAGAGGAGCACATCTACAAAAGACAACATAAATTCTACCTGAGCAAAGAATTTCACACCCTAAAGTAGCCTTGTTAGAGCAGGAAGAGTCTTAATCCACGGGTTCTTCCTCAATTGCGTTGATGGGACTTAGTATGTGAATGTAAGTAAAACTGCTATTGCAAATGGTCCAGAGCTCCAGAAATAGTCATTACCTTGAGAGATGCGGGAATAGTCAGTATAGATGAACTAAGGCACATATCAAAGCAAGAGCACAACAAATCTTGAGGGCTAACAGGAGAAGAAACTTGATACTTAAACAGCCTATTATGAGCTGCCGTATAATCTCTAGTATCTAAGCTCGTGTGCATAAGAATGTCAGAAACATATTATAAGCAAAGATAAGAAAGTGCCTCAAGGAACAATTTTTGACTCTACAAAACCATAAATAAGCAATGACTGAATGAATGGAGCAGTTAAACTGTGATAAGAACCAAAATCTTCTTGTGGTGTGATAGCTATTTTAACTATTCTCAGTGCAGCAAAGAGATCGGAATTCCAATGTATTAAATCCAAAAGGCAATGCATGGAGCGGCGAGGCACTTGGACTTTCAAATTCAAATTCTGCTTGGAACAAGTGTGGCTCAGATATAGACTAGGGAAAAGTAGAATACCACGAAAGACACTTGTTAAGATCTGTTGTAACATAGGACATGGAATAATATCATGTAAATTCAAAGAATTTAACATATGAATAACTGATGCTCAGGTAAAGATATAGAATGGAAGAACTATGCCTCTTTCAAGACATAAATTACATGAAAAGTACACATGTAAATAGACCGGGGATCAATTTTGTAAGGGACTAAGCTGGTAGACAAATACCACAGAATCAGACAAGCAAGGAAGCAGAGGAAGGCAGCTTCTTAGAAGAGTGTAGTCCCTGGCAAGAATGTATCGCTTCTAAGAAGTCAGTTCCATTAGATAAACCAATAAGCTGTAGCATCATTGATTAGATTTCTATTCTTCCATTTATTAAATCAGAAGAGCTGGAACAAGACAGATGAATCACCCTTAGTCAGTCAAAAAACAATAAAAAGGAAATTCTTTTGTATTGTCGTAGTAAATAATGCAAACAGATACATAAAATTTCAATTGAAAAGAAGAATCAAACATAAAAAGTGTCGCGACCTAAAATTTCTCAGGCTAATGGATTATTAAGTCTAAGCTTAACTCGGGCCCTCCCAAGCCCTACCAATTCGCAACTTAGGGTTTAAGTTTTTAACATGCAAAAGTTTTTATGCTTGAAGTCGCCACTAATCTATTTGTGGTAGGTCGATTAGAAACCTAAATAAAACATAGGGATATATGCTTTATTCCTACGAACCAGAGATTCTAAGCTCGGAGACTTGGTTACGCTAGATCTAGTCTAACGCCCTTTCGGTACCTTTTCTTTTCAAAAAATGTTTTGGCAGACAGTTTGGATTCATTTTAACTTAGTCACTAGCATGTGAGGTGATCATGCGGGTGCGCAAACCACCAAAGTAACATCCAATAATCAAAACATTAAATAAATTGCAAGATTGGGAGAATTACTTACCTCGAGGCAACGTAAGCATTTGCATTGTTAGCTAGAAAATCACATCAACAATCCTAATATGATTTCTAATTAACAAGCAGTTCACTCAATATTTTTTACGATTTTCACTTATTTAAATGAAAACTAACCTATATGTAATGACGTGCAAAAATTAACATGCGATTAATGCAGCCTAACATACAAACTATATGTCATGCAACGACGTGACCTAATTCTAATGACGGACCAATGATTTATTTTTGGTATTTTCAAATGAAATTCGGAATTAAAAATTACTCAAATTAACATGCAATCTATCCTAGAGAAAATGTTTTGATCTATCCTAAGGTGATTCTTTTTTTTGGGATTTTTATTAAAATTCGAAATTATTAAATATCCTAAATAATCCACTAAGATTAAAACAATTTCTAATTTAAACTAGGAAATATGCCACCCTAAATCCCAATTTAAATCAAATAATTATCTTATTCTTTTGGATATATTTAAGATTCCCTAAGCATGCAGAATTTCTAATTTAAATCTAACTAACAAGTTTTTTGGTTTTCTTTATTTAAAAGGAAAACAATCAAACAAAGATACCAATCACATTCAAACAATCCACGCAATCCGCAAGATTCTTCAAATTCAGATAAGGCAAAGAAATCAAACTAACGGTCATATCTATAGGGTTATAGATATCGACAGAAAGTTGATTGTTTAAATTTGGAAAGCAAATTAAATCTATTATCGTATCCAAGTGATTATGGACAAGATAACGATTTTCCGTATCGCCGCGTATCGTACCTTAGGGATAAGGTCGGATAGTCGTCCAGATACGTTGCCAAATTAGGAATGATTCCTAATTTTAGGTGTTTTCGAATATTGCGGATATCGCAAAATTATCCTAAGATATATAGCTATCCACCAAAGAATATCCACGAAATATTCAAACACCGAAAACTTAGGAAATTAAATATTTCAGAAAATATTCGGATAATGATCTTACCTAATTTGCGGATATCTTCTAAATTCGAACCCGGTTTTGGATTGAGGCTTGCGGATCGCAGAACGCGTTGTGGCCAACGACGGCGGACCGGCGGTGACAGCGGCGGCGGTTCGACGGGGAGCGGCCCAGCTCGTGGTGGTGGTGTATCGGACAAGCACGTCGGGGATGCGCGAACTTCACCACGTTGGTATGGCTTCACGGATCACCAATGTCGCCATCCTCCTCCCGTGAAGAAGTGCATGCGATGATGATGCCAGATGTGTCATCCAGAGAGCACACTTGTGCATGCGATAGCTTTTTGCATGAATCTTGGTGGATGTCAGAAAGAAAAAATGTGAATTGGACCAACACTTGACTTTTCTGGACTTGGTGGTGACTGGGAACCCACTAATGCTTCACTGCAGAGACACCACCGAGAATCAGTTAGAGGGTACAGCAACGTTATCGTCGATGGAAGCAAGGACGGCAGTTCACGGCCATAGGTCTGGCCGTGAGCAGAGGGCGCGGCAACGGACAGCAAGAGGAGCTACGGCAAGGGCGGCAGCAGCACGGGCAGTGACTCGAGCGTGACGTGGCGGCGCGGCGAGGCACGGGACAGTGGGCGGTCGGCTCGGCACGGGCACAGCGTGGCAGAAACTGGGACTAAGGGAAGCTCGGCCAAGGGGCCGACGGCCGCGGGCTCGGACAAGCGTGCTGATGCCGGTGGCCAGGCGTGGGAGGCACCGTCGGGCACACGCGCGAACAACTCTCTTTCTTACTCTCGCTATTTCTCTTATGCTCTCAAAAGTGTCTTCTCCAAAAAAATCCCCCCACACGCATTGCGCTATCATCTTTTTAAATGCCAAGAAATGGAGCCCACCAAGGAAAGAAAATATACAATTTTTTCCTCTTTCCAACCACATATTGCACAATCTGGCCATGCAATTTCTTTCCTCCTCTCACTTCTCGCACACATCTCCTTTTATGTTTGTTTTGTCTTCTTACCTCGCCAAATCAGACTATTGTCCGTATTTCAGCCAAGATTCCACGCCTAAACCAACAAGATTACGCCTTTCAAGACTCGGAAAAGAATCTCTCTCTTTGTTTTTTCGATTCTTGATCGAGAATTATGCACCAAATATATGGCAAACATATAATATGCACACAATCAAGAATATAACCTTTTGCACGATTTATATGTCGCTCTTGATCGCATATCCCTAGATCGTGAACTTACGAAAATTCTTTCCAAGTGTAGGACCCCTTGCGCAAAAATAAATGGGCTAGGCCAAAATCTTTAATCCACGCGGGTTTAGTCCAATTCCATTAAGTCCGGAGCCATTCATTTAAATCCATCCAACACCGGTCCAATTGATATGCAAAATGTATGGGCCTAATTAACTATTAATGGAATGCTCCTAATATATATATGCAATGTCATCTAATTATATTTTTTGTTTAGGGGTTAAAAAAATTAATCCCTAATTTTCTATGCAATTGTTCCTAAATGACTAGTTAAAATTTAGGTGTCAACAAAAAACAACTCTGAGTGATCTCTTCATAATAGAGCCACATTGCTCTTAGATAGTCACCCATAAAAGAGACAGTGACACTATAATGAATCCCCATCCCAAAAGTGAGATGACTCGGACCAGAACATCTAAATGAGTTAACCTAAAAAGACTAAACTTAGTCTACTGGCCACAAAGAAAAAGAACAGAATAATGCTTTCCCCATTGCCATAACAAGCAATCTATAATAGACAGACGATACATAATCAAAACGAACCAATTTAACCAATCCATAGAAGAAGAACTTCCCTAAGAATGTCCGAAATGTGAAGAAATGCAAAAGCAACGGAGATGATTGTGAGACCCAGGCCTAAGACCGAGAGTTTTCAACATGGGGATCTTAATTCTAGCCTCAAGAGCATAAGGTCAACCAGACCCAACACCAGAAATTCTCATTCCCAGAGAGAGAGAGAGCTTCATACGAATTACCTTTTGCATAAGATCGAAGAGTAGCCAGAGTCGGAGATGGACATGATTCTGAGCTTCTGTCGTTCTTTCTGCTCTGTGTTCGTGTTAAGGCGGAGTGATACTTGGGTGGGAAGATCCGCTACGAGTCAAAGGAGAGTGCTACGTTAGGAATGGAGAGTTCTCGCCAAACCGCTTCGCGGCGTCTCGTTCCTTCGATTCCGACTCGATCGAGCGAGATCCGCGCGGGCTGCGTGCCCTAAACGGACAGCCGCGTTGCGCACCGCCGATTGCACCGAAGGAAAAAGCTAACGAGAGAAGGAATCGAAGACTCACGAGCCCCTTTGAAAAAACGGAGACGGCAGAGATGGAGGGCCAAATCGATCGCCGCCCCGTGTGGTGGCGATTTCG